GGGTCAGGTTTTAAACAGAAAATGACTCAGAAAGCGCAGCAGCGCCAGGGTCCCGTGCCTCCCTCGGTCTCGCCGGGGCAGGTGTCCAGCCGCCAGAGCCGGCGGCGCCCAGGTCGCTGACTCAGCTTCTCCTCGCCAGGCCCTGACCCCCTGGTGCGTCCTGCTGGAGAAGGGGTGATGGCTTCTTCCAGAAACTGATAGTGACTGGGGCAGCTTTCCTGGCGCAGCCTGCCCATTGCATGACCTGTAGGTGCCCAGTTTTGGTTTTGGGGGGAATGTCCATGGTTGGGCAGCCATGATACGGCGTTTCAGAGCACGCCCCCCCCCCAACGCTCTCTCCTGCTCCCAGGCCTTCAGCCCCCGTCCCTGGCGCCACGAACACTTGCAGGGATTATAGGCACTTTTTTTTAAAGATTTTATTTATTTATTTTTAGAGAGGGAAGGGAGGGGGAGAGAGAGAGACACACACACATCAATGTGCGGTTGCTGGGGGACCTGGCCTGCAACCCAGGCATGTGCCCTGACTGGGAATCAAACGTGCGACACTGACACATTTATTTCTGCCAGCAGGTCCCGCCCACCACCTGCCAGCTCCCCTCCCGGCCGTGGCCAGGCCGCAGGCGGTGGCCTCAGCCCACCTGTGGACGCGGCGTCGCTCTGTCACTGGCGGCTCTCGGTTGTTGAGTCGACATTTGCTCCTCACGGGACAGGCCGTGGGGAGGACTAGGGTCACCCTCACTGCCCCATCCGGAAGTGGCAGCGTCTCTCACGTTTCTGTCATCGGGGGAGGGGGGTGTTCCAGAACTACCCGTCGTGGCTTCACTAGACAGAGGGCTTGGTCAGTAAAAAGGTGAAAACGCCATAGAAACCTTCCTCCCCAAGGGCCCGGGCAGTGACGTCAGCTCCTGTGTTGCTTCTGAGGTCACGACGTTGGCTGACCCCGAAGTCAAGGCCCAGAGGTGCCAACGTCCTCCCCCGAGTCCCAGAGAGAAAGCCCCGGCCAGCCTCGCGGGCGCTGCCTCTGCCCTGGGCGGGGGGTGCGAACCAGAGGTCAGAGCAGGTGTGACGGAACCCGGGTGGGCTTCCTGTATTACCCACGCGAGCCCTGGGAATCTGGGGGCGGGGCTTAGTATCCTCTTAAAGATAGGTTAAGGAAAAAGCTAATTTATGAACCTCTCGACTTAGCTTCAAACAAGAATTTGAGAGAAAAAGCAAGGTACAGAATTTAGCTTCATGCCCCAAATCGCTGGGCTTTGCACAGAGAGGGGAGAGTTGAAGGCAAAGAAACACACCCCAAGTTTTCTGTGGGCGACACTGTCTGGTCTCCCCCACCCCACACCAAGCCCAGCCCTCCTTCTCCTCGCCTGTATTCCCCCGCAGCAGAGGCCTTCCTCGTGGGTACACGCTCGGAGGATCCGAAACTGACCGAGCGACTCCCACTTGCCTCCGTGGGTCCCTGTGTACCCAACGCTGACACCCAGTATTGACGTTCCGGCTGCCCGGAGCCTGGTCATCGACGCCCCGGTGCGCCTCCCTCTGCCACCGGGCCGCCGGGAGCCTCGGGCCCGGCAGGTGGTGGAGGGGGCACCTGTCGCTGGGCCACCAGGACCCTTCCCGTAGCACGCCCAACCTTGTGGGCCCCCCTGCAGCAGATGCGCGAATTTGGGGGCAGGGCCCGGCTCACTCAGGCTAGTCGGGGTCACGGGACGCCTGCCCCAGGTGTCCAGTCTTCGGCTTCCAAACAGAGCCTCGTGTCCGAGGAACCGCAGGTGAACACCTTTCCTCCGTCAGGACCGACGCAAAGGTCGAAGGGCTCCTGCCCACGCCTCTGCCCTGCCTGCGTCCAGGGCTTCCCTGCTCCCGGGCGTCATCTCCCATCGTTTTCCCATCCTGGCCCGCGGCCGTGCCGTCTGGAGCTGCTCCTCGGTGTCCCCGACCTCGCCGCACCGCGGTCCTTCCCGTGACGACGCATGTTCCCCCCGGCGTTCCCTTTCCCGCCGTTGGGTTGCCTGTGGCGGACAGCCCTGGGCGTGCCTCCCCGAGACCTGGAGTGCGTCTCCACGGGAGACCCCCGCCCCGGAGCAGCTGTGATGGGCTAAAGGACGAGTGGACAATGGTTACGCCCTTGGTCGACATCGCCAAGCTGCCCCGCCGGCTCCGGTGCCACCGGACACCCGGCCAGCCACCGGCGGGGACCGGCTGTTCTTCAGGCGAAGGCTCTGGGTCCCAGGGAGCAGCTGCTGTCAAGGAGCCAAGGACTCCGGCCAGATGACCGATTCCGAGCCCCCCACGTCTGAGAATGCGCAGCTTTCAGGAAGCCTGGGGCCGCCCGGAGACTCAGGGCCCCGCGGGGAGGGAGTGGGGTCCCCAGAAGGACGGTGACAGAGCGTGGCCGTGGGGGACGGGCAGGGGAGGCTGGGGGGCCGGTGACCAAGAACTCTGGCCCACTTCAGAGCTGGGGGGACCTGGGAGGCAGGGAGCGTTCTGTGTGCCCGTGGCCCTCCTGCCCCGGCTCTGCTCCTCCCTGGCCGGCTCCTTCTTCTCTCCCAGACCCTCCCCGGCCGGCTCCTTCTTCTCTCCCAGACCCTCCCCGGCCGGCTCCCTCTCTCCCAGACCCTCCCCGGCCGGCTCCCTCTCTCCCAGACCCTCCCCGGCCGGCTCCCTCTCTCCCAGACCCTCCCCGGCCGGCTCCTTCTTCTCTCCCAGACCCTCCCCGGCCGGCTCCCTCTCTCCCAGACCCTCCCCAGCCGGCTCCCTCTCTCCCAGACCCTCCCCGGCCCAGCTCCCTCTCTCCCAGACCCTCCCCGGCCGGCTCCCTTCTTCTCTCCCAGACCCTCCCCGGCCCGCTCCCTCTCTCCCAGACCCCGCCTGTGCATGGGGAAGCTCACGCACGCAGGGTTTATGACCGTCCGGGGCTGGGTGAGTTAAGGTGTGTCGGCCTGCAGGGCAAGTGACTGCAGCTGGAGGTCCCAGCCTAAACCGGCTCCGAATTCCTTCCTGATAGATAGAATTCCTTCCTGATAGATAACGATCGTTTCTAGGGCCAGAAGGGATCACCCAGGCCCTTCCCCACTGGCCGCCCCTTCAACGTGCAAATGCTGGGAAACATCTGAGGACTTGACTCAGCCCCAAAGCATTTTACGTTTCTTACCTATGGCCCAGACAAACATTTGGTTTGTCCCCGAGAATGAGACATTTAAACTTTGCACAGAGAAGCTTACTTAAGGCTGAATAGCGTATTTTAAAAGTTGGACTTGAGAACTTGTAGTAGGTTACTGTTAACGAGAGTTTTAAAATGTCAACCAAGTTGGTGGCATTTTTTTTTTCTTTTCTCTGCTGAGCCTGAGAATCACCTGGGGACCCTTTCCAAACCCCTAAACCCAGTTCCGAGTTCCTCCCAGCAGGAGGCCTGGAAGTGGGCGCCAGGCACCAGAGCCGAAACTGGGGGTCTTGTGCAGAAGACAGACAAATTATTCGGCTTAAAACTATATGATTTCCAGCAAGCCCGAGACGATCATACAGTTCAAATACTTCCAAGACTCTGAGTCTTCCCCTGGGTCAGAGTTGCGTGATGCGGTAGGCCTGACTTAGGAAGCGAGATACAAACTAACAGAACTTTGCCCCACGGAGACTTTTGGAGGGGATTTTGGTTGTGGAGTGGTGGAATACACAACACGAATCCCGGTGTTTCCCTGGGGTTTGTGACTCCTTTGTGTGTGGCCTGGCGTGATGCCTCCTGCACCCGAGGTGTTCTCAGCGAAACGTGGGCGGACCTCTTAGTAACTGCTTCGGCCTCGCCGGTGGGCAGCAGATACTGATTTTACCGCGGGACACTCTTCCCCTTCGCTGCTTAAAAAATTCTGAGAATGTCCAAAATTTAAGCCTCCTCCCCGGCCACCCCCACCACCATGGGTGCCTGCACGTCCCGCCCAGATCAAAGAGCCGGCCTGGTGGCCCAGGGAGCCGGCACCCAGCCTGCGTCGCGAGAAGACCCACGAACCCCAGAGGGGCTTTCTCCTGGAGGGGGCGGGGCTCGGAGACCCGCCGCGGGAGGGGGAGGGGCTGTGTGTCCCGTCTCCCGTGACCTCCTGGCTCTGCCCCTCCGCGGAGCCGCGGGCTGGGGCTTTAAGAGGCAGTTGTTGATGCGACGCAAAGGCCAGGTCCTGTCGCCTCCGTGGGGACAGGAGCGCCTCCCCTTCTCCGGACCGAGGTCACCTGCTAGCCCGCGCGCGCGCGCGCTCTCGCGCTCCCCGCTGTCAAGGCAAAGGCGCCACCTGCGCTGACCCGGGGCCGCTGCCCCGCCGCGGCTGGGCCCGACGCCGTGAGTCCTGAGCGCAGGCGGCAGGGGTCCGAGCGGGGCGCGCTCCCCTCCCCTCCGTCTTCTCCGTGTTCTCGTCACAGGCTGGACGGGCAGGCGTCCGTGGGCGCTCCTGCCCCTGACCGCGCAGGGTCTCCGCGGAAGTGCTGCGGGGCGGGGTGGGGGGCGGAGTGGGGAGGACAGGCTTACGTGCCTGTCTCTCCGAGGCGCCTCGTGGGTTTGGTCCGGCGACCTCGGAGCGCAGAGCTGGGCCTCGGACCCAGCTTTGGGAGCGGGCGCGGGGCCTGGCTGGGCCGCCCAGCACGCGCCTCCTGCTGTGTCCTGTTGCTGTTGCGTGGACGCGGACCTCACGAAGTGCTCGTGTTTTTTGAAAGTACAGTTGGACCTTGTTTTTCAAAAACATCCCTGAAGGAGACCCCCGGTGACCCACGACACTAACACTAGTGCTCGTGATTTATTTTTACTGATGTGTTGAGAGGGAGGCGTGTCTGCTTCTCCCGCTGAGAGCTGAGCCCTTCGGCTTGCGAACAAACTCCGAACGCGGTGGCGGAGGGAAGGTCGACCGGCGCTAACGGTGACTCACCTCGCCTGCCCTCCCGCTGCCCTCCTCTCCTGCTGACAAGCGCGGCGCTTTCTGTCTCAACCTGCCCCTAATTTGCTGTGACCTGTGCCCTGCCTACAGGGCTGCCAGCCAGACTCCCCGAGATCATGCTGGTGGGGGCCCAGTCCTGCTCGCCGGGGGGGCCCAATGGCATCATCCGCAGCCAGTCCTTCGCGGGGTTCAGCGGCCTGCAGGAGAGGCGGTCCAGGTAAGTTGTGGGGTCGCGCCCCGGAGCCGCTGAGGGGGAGGGGAGCGTGGGTGTTGGGGCACGGTGAGCAAGCGTCTGTGCGCATGTGGCCTCCTCAGCACACACGCACACACATGCACTCACACACGTGTGTGACCTTAATCTCTGATGGGAAAGGTGGAAGCCACCACACGGAAGCACTGTTCTTTCTTTTTAAGAATTTAACTTATTTATTTTCCACAGAGGGGAAGGGAGGGAGAAAGAGAGGGAGAGAAACATGAATGTGTGGTTGCCTCTCATGTGCCCCCTACTGGGGACCCAGCCTGCAATCCAGGCCTATACCCTGACTGGGAATCGAACTGGTGACCCTTGGGTTCACAGGCCAGCGCTCAGTCCACTGAGCCGCACCAGCCAGGGCTGCAGTTTCTTCTCCACCATTTAGAATCTGTCCTGCAAGGGCGAGGGCCGCTGATGGAGGACAAGCTACCGACACATGGGTGCAGCTCTCCCCACCCCACCCCACCCTTCCCTTTTTAAGGGTTTTTTGGTCAGTATCACCAAAGAGCCTCCAGATGTTTGAAGCCCTTTGCCCCTCATCAGCAAAAACAGATTTGCTTTGTCCACATACTCGTGGGTCCTGGGGTCTTCTAAAAATCATTTGCAGTTTTTTATGTCACCCTCCTGAGGTTAAACGTCCCCTGGCAAGTTTTGTCCCTTTTGTGTTCACTTGGGGACGACGAGGTGGCTCGCGTCCCCTGCCTGAGTGGGTACTTGCGCGTTTTCTCACCAAACGACAAAGACGTCTATGTCCCCGTTGCAACACTGCGTGTCGTCTTTTCTCACTGCTTCGAGTGGATACGCTGTTTTCCCTTTTGACCTTCTGACCCCGTCACCCATGGAGCTCCCCACCACCACCCACCACTGCTGGCGACCACCGATGTGTTCTCTGTGGCTGTGAGCGTGGGGTGTGTGTGTGCGTGTGTTAAAATCACACGTACAATGAGACCACACGGTGTTGGTCCACCCCTGAGTCATCCCACTCTGCACAGTGCCCTGCTGGTCCATTCGTGCTGTCGCAGACGGCCGGGTGCCATCCTTTTTCATGGCTGAGTGATACTCCTCCGCGCACCGTGGTGGCTTTGTTCACTCACTCGGGGAGGGACACTTAGGCTGCTTCCGTAGCTTCCGTGTTGCGCGCAACACTGTGGTGAGCAGAGGGCACATCGATCTTTTTTAGTTTGTTTTGTTGTGGGGTTTTTTTTTTTTCGTGTTTTTGTCTTCTTTGGGTAAATACCCGGAAGTGGCATCAGTGGATCGTGACTGCCCCCTACCGCTCACAGAGACGCGGGGACTTTAGTTACACGCAAACGTAACTTCCTCCATGAAAACGAAGCTCAAGAAAACGCGTCAGTCAGTCCGCTCCACGAGCTTTGCTTTGCTTTCACACTGCACAGAGCTAGCCGTTGCCCATCCCATGCTCTCGGCTCTTTATCTAAGAGGTAGTCACTCACACGCTAGTCAAATTTAATAGATGCCGTGCCTGACGTGCTAATGCACAGGTGTTTTACTTGGTTTACGTCCATCTGCTGTGTGTCACTTCCACCCCGAGTGTGTCCTTGGCTCCCTGTGGGGTTTCGGTGGTGTCAGGTATTTTCACTCCCAGCACACGCTACCTGAGGCCAGGCTTCGGCCCAAGGAAGCCACCACCCAGCAGAGCTCCCAGGTTTCAGCAGGGACGTCAAACACCCAGAAAGAACAGGAGGCGGCTCAGAGGGGCCGCTGTGCTGGGACTGTGCCCTCCCCCAAAGCCACCAGCACACACTCGGGTGATGGAAAAAAGGCATTTCCTCCTCCTCTGAGTACTTTCCGACGCCTGAGCTGCAGTTTCTGCTTTCCTTTCTCTTCCACAGATGTAACTCCTTCATTGAAAATTCTGCCGCTGTCAAGAAGCCTCAGGCCAAACTGAAGAAAATGCACAACTTGGGACACAAAAACAACAGCGCCCCCAAGGAGCCTCAGCCGGGCCGGGTGGAAGAGGTCTACCGGGCCCTGAAGGGCGGCCTCAGGTAAGCACGGCGCGAGCCCCCGCACTGGCGGCACCTCTTCCCGCCTGAATGGGGTGGGGGCTGGAGGTCAGAGGAGACCACTGGCCTGGAGAGGCCGTTCTCAAATGCTGTTTCGGTAGCGGGTGTTTCATTCTTGCACCCTCCTCGGGGGAGCCCGCACTGAGTCCCAGAGGTGGGACGTGTACTGGGTTCCCACAACGTGAGGTCCCTAACACTCAAGGAGACCCGGAGGAGTGAGACGTTTATATTGCCCTCGTAGAGGACTGGCCCCCCGCAGCAGTGTGGGCGGGCAGCGCTGGGTCAGAGGTGGCCGCGGGAGGTTCTGAACCGCCCGCCACCGCCCATCCCAGCACGTCACAGGGACCGTTTGCCCAGAGTAAACCCTCCGGAGCGCGTGGGGACGATCTCCAGCCCACGCTGTGTGGAACCGAACGGAGCTCTGTGACCCCAGGCCTGGCGCGGCTCCGCACCTGCCCCGCCCCTCCCTCCCCACCCCCCACCCCGGGTGTTCTGCTCTGGGCCCTCAGCCGCAGGGGGTCCCCTCTCCCACCGTCCGGGTGGTCTCAGACGCAGCTGCCGGAGACGTCGTGATGTTGGGAGATTGGGGAAATGCAGCGCCTCCTCCCTTCCGACCTCACCCTCCATGGAGCGAGGTCCGGGTCCCAGTGCCCCTGCAGACGGAGGGGTCAGCGGCCCCGGAGCCCCCTGGATGGACACCGGGCTCACGCCATGCCCCGCCTTCTCTCTGCAGCGAGTACCTGGAGGTCCACCAGACAGAGCTGGACAAACTGAATGCGCAGCTCAAAGACATGAAGAGGAACTCGCGCCTGGTGCGTGCTGGCTGGTCAGCGGGGTGCTCACGAGTCCTTACTGTTTGTTTGAAGATTTTATTTATTCACTCCTGGAGAGAGGGGAAGGGAGGGAGGAAGAGAGGGAGAGAAACATCAGCGTGTGAGAAATGCTTGAGCGCCCCCTACTGGGGACCTGGCCCGTAACCCGGGCATGTGCCCTGACTGGGGATCAAACCAGCGATCTTTCTGTTTGTAGGCTGGCTCTCAGTCCACTGAGCCACACCAGCCAGGGCGGGGCTTTTTAAACTATTTTTAGCTTTTTGGCTAAACACCTTTTCCTGCTACATGGAGCCGGGTAGAGAGAACCTTGAAGAGGAACAGATGCAAGGGACAAAGTACTCTCTGCTTTCTGACGTACATTTTAATGCTTTATTCTGAGCACGTTTACGTGTTTTCCAAGCATGTTTATGCAGGTGGACTTTACAGTCAGGAAAAGTACCCCCCATGGCCCTCCCCTAACTAATAAAAGGAAATGAGAAGTTGGAGCCGCCCTGGCACGGGGTTGGTGCAGAGCCGGGAACTGGAAGCGCTGGCTTTATCTCCGACTTCTCAGCAAATGCGGCAGGCAGTGAGGCCGGAGAGGAGGAGCCGGCCCCAGAGCCGAGGCGCGCACAGACCGCCGCGCTCCGAGTGGCCGGTGGCCGGCATCTGGCGGGAGGGGCGTTTCTGGCTCCCGCTGTGTTCAGGGGCTCTGCCCACGCATATGGACGGGCCGCCTGGACGGCTCAGGAAGCCCGGGGAGCTCTGCGCACCCCCAGGGGCCGCCACTGCCCATGGGCAGCTGCTGCCCCTCCCTCTCTCGGGAGATGGGCTGACCTGCAAACGGTCGTGTTTTTCGAGGGCTCGAGTTTAGAGGCTTTGTAGACGTCCAGGGTTTTATGCTGCAGTGACGCCAGGGAATGAACGGGCCCCACCCGGGTGGGAATGACCTTCAGGGGGCTCCGATGCCCTTGGCTGTCCTCGGTGGCAACCAGTGCCCCTTCTTGGAGGACGATGGCGAGGGGAAGGCGGGGCTTCCCCGAACACGAGCATTCCGTGGACACCTCCCCGTGGAGAATGCGGGGTGGGAACCGACTCCCCGTGACACCGGGGGCTCGCAGGACGAGGGTTTGTTCTAAAAACAACCCGTGAAAGGCGTGGCGCAGCCTCAGGGCTCCTTAAATTGACAGTTTCCCATGTTTAAGCAGGAAGGCAGGTGTATCTTTAACGCCTGTGTCACAGCTGCGTGTGATGGTCACACCACCAGTTTTGTAAACATGTACAAAGGGAACACGGAAGTGTGACCCCCGACAGGTGAGAGGAAAGAGCTCAGAGCCAGAGACACCCGCACGGCCCGAAGGGGCGGGCAGGTCTGGGTGGCACTGCGGAGCGCGGAGCGTAAATGGAAGCCCTCTCGCTGGCACTTGAGATAACCCGGACTTTCACCCTGCGAGAGCAAATGTCCAGACTCCCAGCAGAGAGCCATGCGGGCTGGTTGTCACCTCACTGCGCGCAGACGGGACCCTCCGTGACCACCAGGTGTTCTCACCCGAGCCCTCTCGTTTCTGTTGCAGGGCGTGCTCTACGACCTGGACAAGGTGGGTTCCCGCGGGGCGCTGGGGCGGGCGGAAGACCCCATGTCCCGGAGCGGAGCCGAGGCCCCTCCGACAGACGGGGCTTCCCAGCCACGCGACGGTGGTTCTAGGCCCAGAAAAACACTCGCTTTTATCTATGGGTTTGGCGAGTAAGGACCTGGATCTCCAGATCCAAGAATACGTTCACGGAACTGCCGCCCGGGGTGGGGTTTCTGGTGCGCGGGCAGGTTTCAGAGCCCCCCGAGTGTGCGGGGGCCTGCCCGCGCGTCTCCATAAGCGTTAACTCTCCGAGTTGATCAAATCCAAGAGACCTTGGGTTGGAAAATGACGCATTATCCTATGTTCCGCTAGAAACAAAAAGTGATTCCAGTCACTCCAAGACACAGCTCCTTCTTTTCACTTAAAACGTGCATTTGGCGCTTAGTGCCAAGACTCTCGGGAGCTTCCTGTGCACGCAGATTACCTTTCGGTGTGTGTGGTGCCGTCTGTTTGCGTGCCTTCTGCACGTGCAGCGCCCTTCACGCCAAATCCCGGCACAGCCCGTGTGCAGGCGTGTGGGGGCAATTAGACTTAATGCACGTAATAGTGGCATTTGCAACTCAAAGGAAGAGACGACGCGGAGAGTGCCGAGACTGCCGGTGAGCATGCACAGGCGTGGCAGCCATGCCAGGCCCTCGATTTACTCAGGGACAGTGAGTGTGGAGGGGAAGCTCGTCCCTGAGCCGACCCGCCCAGTTGTCGTGGAGGAGTTCGGTTACTTTCCACCACGGCACCGTCCGGCCAGAAATCCAATAACTCCCAGTCGATTGGGCTTTTTGATGCGAAACGCAGGTTCCAATAATCAGCTGAGTCCGTCTCGCAGCACTGGTGTTCGGTGTCCTAAACCGTGCTCCCAGACTGACCCCGGAGACTCTCGGAGCGGCAGCCCAGACGGGAGGGAAACCTGGGCAGGCGGGGGTGGGAGGGGAGGGGCTGCAGACCGCCGGGCTGGACCAGGGCGCTGTGCGTGGCTGCGCTTCTCCAACCTCTCCTTTCCGTTCCAGCAAATCAAAGCCATCGAAAGGTACATCAGACGCCTGGAGTTTCACGTCAGCAAGGTAACCGCCCCCCCGCACCCCCCCCCCCCCGCTGTCTCTGCCTGCTTTTCCGAGGTCACCCCCAGTCCCCCGGGGCCTGAGCTGAGCTGTGTCCGAGGGGAGTTTCCGATCGCACCGGCTCCTGAGCTGATCCGCAGCCGAGAGCGACAGGCAGGAGAGACGGAGAAACCAGGGGACCGAGGGCCTGGCGCCCGGCTCGGCCGCGGTGCCGAGAGGTGCAGGGTTCCCGCCGCAGGGCCACTGGGGAGAGGAGGCGGGGAGCCTGCAGGAAACACCCCCCTTTTCACCGGGGGGACTTCACCACCTGGCCCCACACCCAGCTCTGCACCCCGAACTCCTTCACTAAGGCCATTGGGGCACCTCAGGGCACCTGCCGGTGCCTCCCGAGCCTCTCTCCAGCTCTGAGTTCCTCCGGGCCTCCTCACGCGGCCTGGGTTCCGGGCACCGCTGCGTCGTCAGTGGCCCCTGGATGGGCCCCAGTCCCCTGACAGCCAGCCCCGAGCCCTACACATAGTTCACCGGTGGTCCGACCGGCCCGTGGGGAGCGGGGCCGTCGCCCCGTTCTGAGCACCGTCAGGAGGTGCACCCAGAAGAAGTGTCCTTGGGCGCCACAGTCCCTGTTCCCACCCACACTGGTCAGCCTCTCGTCCAAGTGCGGAGCCGGGGGGTCAGCCTGTCCGCGCTGGGACTCGGAAGCCTCAGGTCTAGGCCGTGGGTCCCTGGGCTGAGCCAGGAACGTGGGCCTTGGCCTCCACTCCGGGAAGTGGGGCTCGGGGATGCCTGCATTCAGTCTTGATGATTCTAAGACTCCTTTCCTTTACTTATTCATTCATTCATTCATTCATTCATTCATTTTTGTAATTCTCACCCCAGGATAAGTGTGTTGATTTTGCAGCAAGAGGAAGGGAGAGAGCCAGAGAAACATTGATGTGAGAGAGAAACATTGATCAGTTGCCTCTTGTAGGCACCCCAAACCAGGGATCGAACCCCCAACTTAGGTATGTGCCCTGACTGGGAATCGAACCTGTGACCTTTCAGTCTACGGGACGACGCTCCAACCCACTGAGCCACCCGGCCAGGGCAGAACCCTCTCCCGTTAAAACACGGTGATGGCTATACACCTCGATGCTGCTGCCCCTGCCGCCCCCCGCCCCCACTTCAAAAGACACCCACGACCTCAGCTGATCGGAACGGCTCCCGCTTCCACCGCCCTCGGTGACCGAAACAGTGAGGCCTCGCGGAGGTGTCTGGGGGGCGGGTGGGCTCTGACCCCCCCTCCCTGTGTGGGCTGGAAAACCGCGAGGAAGCAAGATCAGTGTCAGGCAGGCGAGCATTTCTCCGCCGTCCTTGCTGGAGGTGGCGGTCCCCGTGGTCATGGGAGGCTGGGGCACCCTGTTTGCAGCGCAAACGCGCAGGGTGCCGCCAGATGGTATTCGACCGACCGACTCGGCCAATCCGTTCATCTGACGCAGAGCCACCGCTGACCTGTAGGTGGGCCAGCTCTGCTCAGACGCTCCCAGACTGACTCTGCACCCTGAAGCGTGACCCCATGTGGCTGGGACAGGCTGCCATTTAACGCAAACAAAGAAGACACTTCTCTTTAAATGCAAAGTAACAGACGGGTCATCAGGGCCAACGCAGGGGCCCAGGGAGAGATTTTCTTACTGAGAAGGTCACAGTGGCAGGGATTCTGGCGGGGAAAGGGTCGAGGGGAGTCCCCTGGGACCACGGGGGTGGCCGCCTGGCTGGCCACAAGGAAGGCCCCGCTGTGGCACTCCCAGAAGTCCGTGGGGCTGCTGCCGCGCCAGCGCACTCTGCCGCGGCCACGGAACGTCCCAGACGCCTGGCTGTGCCCCGCCTGCCGAGTCCGCATCCCCGAGGAGGGCCTGGGCACCCACGTGTACTGACAGGCTCGCCCGGGAGCCTCAGCTTAGTTCCAGAGTGCAGCAGCCACCCTCGAGGCCGGTCCCCCACCAAAGGTTGTCATCGGCGGGCGGCCCCCCCTGGAGGCCGAGACCCCCTCTTCACCAGAGGCAACCCCATCGGGGGCCCAAAGACGGGAGACCCTTCTGTTCCTGCCCCGGTCCGGCAGTTCCTCGCGGCACGGTGGGGGGGCTCGCTGGGTGAGGGAGCGACGACGAAGGCCTCTCCGGCCCCAAGAACCGCGGCCAGGGCCTTCCCGTGCCCACGCCGACCTTGGCGCCAGTGCCCTCCGGAAGGAGGAGGCGGTGACGCTCGTCCGTGGGCAGCCACCACGGGAACGGACGGCGAGCGTCAACCTCCAAAGTCCACGCGCCTCGCCTCCACCCCTCCCAGGCTCCACGGTGCCGCCCCTTCTGAGGGACGAAGCCGGTGCTGCGGGGAGACGGTCAGGTCGTCCTCCGCGGGGGGTGCCCCCAAAGCCGCAGCCCCCCACCCCCTTGCTCCTGCGATGCCGTCCACCTGCCCAACAAGCCCCTCGGCGGTCTGCGGGGAGCGTGTGGGTCGCGGGGGGCGGCACAGGACTGTCTCGGTCCACGCCGTCAGGAGCACCTTCCAAACGGGCGCCCTCCACCTCACCCTGCTGGCATCTCGGGGTCATTCTGGGGGGGCAGGGGCCGTCCCCCGCTGTACGGGACGTTGAGCAGCTTCCCCGGCTGCTGCTGCCTCCCAGCCCCGACCCTGCAGGACGTGTCCCCGTGGGGCCCAGGGTCCCTCCCGTGGGCGTCAGAGAGGCCTTGGCTGACAGAGAGTCCTCCCCCCGCCCCCCCGCCCCCCGAGCAGCCCGAGTGACGATCAGGCTTGTGCTGAGTGTGACCCGCCGTAGAGTGGGGGGGGGGTTTAGGGGCTTCCGTGTGGCCGTGTCGCTGGGAACACGCTCCTCTCCGTTGCTTCTGTGCGTTCTCCCAGCTGTGCCATGGTTCACACGCAGAGAACACCCCCAGTGTGCTCACACGGTCTGACACGTTCTCCCCGCCGCGCGCCGCCCCGACCTCGGGAACGGCCTCGCGCTCTCTCTCTCGTCGCCGTGGAGCCGAGAGTTCACAGAACCCTCTCCAGTGCCTCGCCTCGGGGTCTTTCTCTAGAAACCTGCAGGTCTGGGTGTGTGGCTGCCGCCCGGTGGCGTCTGCCCCCAGGTCTCCCCGTGGGGAGGGCGGCTCCGTCCCCCACGGGCGCAGGCTCCCACGCCAGCCACCCCCCTACCATCCCCCCGGGGTCTGCCCGCCTGCGGTTCCTCCCATCCTGGGGGCCTGGAAAAGCGGCTCGGGGAGCGGTCGGTGTGGACGCAGGAAGTGGGCCCAGTGGTGGAAACGAAAGGCCTGGGTTGCTGTCGGAGAGGACGAGCTGCTCCAAGGCCGAGACACCGGCCGCCCCGTGCGAGCGACCAGGACTCACCCCCCGCCCCCCCCCCCCCGTGTCTCCCCTTCCTCCCGGCAGGTGGATGAGCTCTACGAAGCGTACTGTATCCAGAGGCGCCTGCAGGACGGCGCCAGCAAAATGAAGCAAGCCTTCGGCGCGTCGCCCGCCAGCAGGGCCGCCCGGGAGAGCCTGGCAGAGGTGCACCGCAGCCACAAGGAGTACACCGAGGTGGGCGCCCCCCCAGGCCCAGCCGCCGGGACAGGTGGTGCCTGCCTGGGACAGGGCGCAGCCTGCCCTGACCTCGCCCGCTCCCCGGGCAGACGGGCCGCCTCCTCACCTCCCTTGCTTTTTTCTTTCTTTGTTTGGGTTTTTTTTTGAGGCTGACAGTGGGATTGTTTAAATGACGCCCGAGTGGCTCACCAGCCCCCAGAGGACCGGCCCGGGCAGCATCCCCGGTCAGGCAGCCATCCCGGTGCCCTGTGACCCTGTGACCCTGTGACCCTGTGACAGGCGCGTCTGTGTCCCAGTCCAACCATATGGGGCCAGGCGCCCAGGGGCCACTCCCCGGCCAGGCTGACGCGGCCCCGTGCGGTCTGCGTGCGTGGGGACCCCAACGCTGGTGGAAACCCCGGGAGTGACTGCGGAAGCCGCAGTGCACTGGCTGCTAAACCCCTTCCAAGTTCTCTGGCTCACAGCCCCTCGAGCTGGGTTTCCGGGGGCCGACCGGCCCGGGCGGGGATGATCACCCCCGAGGTCGGCTGTCACGGCAGCACGGTCACCCCTGCTGCCCAAGGTCAGCTCAGTGCTAGAAGTTTCCCTCCTCTCCTCCAGGGAGACCGGACAAAGGGCCCCGGACAGGACCGCTGTCCAGGTTCCCCACTGTCCCCTGGGCCCCCACCCGTCCCCTGGGCCCCTGCACGGGACACAGGACACAGGCCTCTGCCCCGCCCCCCAGGGCCAGCCACCACCAGCGCCCCTGGCGAAATGACTGAGCCATTAGAGCGGCCCTCCTCGCTGCCCCCCGCCCCCGGGAGAGGCGCTGCTCAGGGGTGGAGTTTCCCGGGTGGGGTCATCGCCGGTGAGGGGCTGCCACCCAGTTCCCGGAACTGGGCGTCCGCTGGGCCCCTGGGACCGAGGGATCTCTCGGGTAACAGACGTCCGATGGCCTGGTGTGTCACCCCCGCACGCCTAGGTGTCACTGAGTTGACTCTAGAATGGGGCTTCTGTGCCCAAGGGCCCCTGCAGGGTGATGCATTTTACGTGCGGAAAACGCAAACAGGCACCCAAACCGGGCGACTTCGGGATTGCCCGCACAGCTAACAAAGCCAGGCTGGGAGGAAACTGAGGGTGGGCTGCGGTGCAAGGCCGCTGCCTTCCTGGGACACGGGACCCAACGCTCAGCCCTGGCGCTGGCCCCGGGCCTCGGGGACCACGGGACGCAGGGCAGTGGGAGACAGAGACGGTGTCAGGGCGTCCGCGACAAACCACATGTGGTTCCTGCCCCCCGTCGGAGTCGCGGGTCCCGGTAACACCCGTGGCCCGTCTTCTACCTTCCTGACATGCGGACGTGTCCGTTGTTGGGGAGAGGTCTGTGCAGCAGTGTGACTTCCCCCCGCACCCCCCACCCACCTCTGCCCGCCGCCCGCCCGCCTGCCCGCCCGCGCTGATGGCCCTGCAGGCTGAGAGCCTCGGGCTCGGGGCAGCTCGTCCTCCTCGGGCCCCGTCTCCGGCCGTGTCTGGAGGCAGCTCGGTCGCCGGTCCTGGGGGCCCTTCAGTCCCCGAGCCGCCCATCTGCCCGTCCCAGAACACCCGCAGGCCCCCTCAGAGGACCCCCCCTCAGTCCACAGCCCAGGCGTCGTGCTGTGCGCACAAGTCCAAAGTCGCGGAGGTGATTTCACCCGAGGGCTGTGTTGGAGAAGAAAGCAGGCGGGCGTCTCGCAATCCGCCCGACCTCAGGGAGGGTTGCGCCTTTGGCCAAATCTCAGAACCCAGGACTTTACACGGAGGACACTCGGGGCGCAGCGGCTCCGGGGGCCCTGGCAGGTGTCCCTGGTCCCCGAGGGCCACCTGGTGAGACAGAGGGACGTTCCGGCCATGGGGGCCACCCGCGGTTCTGGGACCCGCCCCTCCTTTCAAAGACCCTGGCGGCAGCCCTGACAGGCGTGACAACATCCCTGACGTTTCTGGAAGGTGAAATGCGTTCCTTCACGGAGACGCCCAGCGCCGCGAGGGAGAAACTTGTTTACAGTCTGGAGACTCTGTTCTCAGAGCTCCCATCTGCAGCCAGCTCAGCGGCAGGAAGCAACCGCCCCCCCCATCCCTCCCCGACCCCCCCAACTCTGCTGAGCCAGGTGAGGCACTAAGCTCTCCCCAGAGCAACGACCGGGAGCGGAGCAGAGCCTCCGGCCCCACGAACCCGCCCCGAGGCCTCGGCCGGCCAAGCTCCAGCGGCAGCAGGCCCGCCGGGCCCCTGAGCCCCTGCCCCTGCCCCAGCTGCAGGCCCAGCTGCAGGCCCAGCCCCAGCTGCAGGCCGGCCCCAGCACGCTTCGCTTCTGACTCCAGTGGCCCCGGGCGGGCCCCTGGGTGCCAAGGACGTGTTGGGGGTGGTCACCCACGCACAGACGGGTCCCCCCTGCCGCCACTTCCCTCAACATCAGGGTGAGGACAGGACACGGGTTGGACCTGGGAACCACGTAGGGCACTGCACCCACGTGGAGTGGAGCGGAGCCCCCAGTGCTCTTTCTGCCCCGACTTTCTGTCGAGAACACTTTCGCACTCACAGAAAAGCCGAGACTAGCGCAGCGGACACCGACACCGCACCCAGACCTGACAGCCACGGGTGGCGTCTTCCACCCGTGGTCCCCTCCCTGCTGCGCTCAGTTTTTTCTCCTGTTTCCGCGGAGTCATTGAACAGTCGGCGGTGGATGTCAGGGCACCTCACCCGCAGACACTCTGCACGGATTTCTTAACGGTGTCCCACACGACACGCAGACCCCCAGCCTAGCCCCCCGCACATCCCATGGTCACGGCTGAGAACGTCAGGCTGTGCTACAGAATCACCCGAGACCCGGCGTGTTTTCACATCGCCCCTGTTTCACGCAGCAGTGTCTGTGTCACTGTTTCCCTTAATGCAGTTGTCCCGGAAACCAGGCCGCGATCCAGGTGAACACACCTCACCTGGTCGTCTCTTTTATCTAGATTTTTCCCCCCTTCATGCTGCTGTTTTGTGGGATTCAGGCTCGTTCTCACAGGACACCCCACCTTCTGGATTTGGGGGTTTATGATATGATTTGGCTTGTTCTGTGCTCCTGAGTTTCCGGGGCACCGGAAGTCTTGCCCAGACCTGGGCTGAACATGTTGTCGAGGACTCCCCATAGGCGGCGCTGGGTGCCCACCGAGAGCGGGTCAGTGCGTCCCCCCCGGGTTCACGCTCATCACAAATGCGTGGGTGCATCCCGGGGTTCACGCTCGCCTTGAACGGGTCGGTGAGCCCCAGGGTTCACGCTCACTGCCAGTGGGCTGGCGTGTCCCGGGGCTCACGCTCACCCCAAATGGTCTGGTGCACCCCGGGGCTCACCAGCGCCGTCTCCCCTCCCCCACAGAACATGTGCGCCATCGAGGTGGAGCTGGAGAGTCTGCTGGGCGAGTTCTGCATCCGGATGAAAGGTACGCTGGGGCCGCTCTGGTTTCCTCCCTCGCCGGGACCCGCGCTTGTCCGGCCCCTGCTCGCTCACTGGCGCTCGGGGCCTCCCCGTCCTGGGCCGCTCGCACCCTCGGGTGTCCGTTAGGGCAGCGCCCCAGGCCCACAGAGGCGGGGAGGCTCTTCCTTCCAAGGAGCCTCCGTCCGCCCGTCACCGAGACTGAATCATCAGCCAGATCTTGCCGGGTTTGCTTCATCTGCTTTCTTTGTTTTTCCTTTGATGAGACGGACTCTGCCTGTCGGGTAGAGAAAGCGCAGGCGTGGGCGCCGGCCCCTGCAGGCTGCAAGCTTCCACTCTCGGGGGGCAGCTGCCCACGGAGCCTCGCGGCCAAGCACCCCGAGTCTCACAGAGCGAAGGGGCCTGGGCGCGCCCGGCCCACCGCCAGGCTGCCCCAGTCGCCTCGGAAATGCCCTGTGCAGTCGGTTCGTTCAGAGCGGGACCCAAACAGGGGCCCAGCCCCTGAGGGGTCACTGGATACACGTTTAGGGTCCCTTTCACCTAAAGCAGACCCTCCCGGGTCTTCCGTCCCCTGACTCGCCGTGGAAACTGTTCCCCCGAAGAACGCCCCACGCTCTCCGTCTCTCTCCTGGCCTCTTCCCGGCGTCAGCAAACTGGCCCTCGGGGGGGCGCCGCCGTGTTCCCTGTGAGCTGCCTGACCCCCAGTCTTTAGACTTTGTAGTATTTGTGCTAGGCCCCACCCGAGGTCTCTGCATTTCCCTCTTTTTCCCGGTGACTCTCTGGTGCTTGCTCCGGAGAGCCCCACCTCGAAGCACTTCTCACGGGGGCCACCCTGGCCTCGCCCCTGGGCGCAGCATCTGTGCTTGAAGTCCATCCTTATGTCCCTCGGGCCCTCGCCCGAGTCTGGTTCCGGAACCACCTGGGCCCACCCCATCCCAGCAGGCGGGGGTGGGGGGCCTGGAATGTGGTTCCTGATCTTAGACAGAGAGGAAGGGACAGAGAGAGAGAGAGAGAGAAACATCAGTCAGTTGGGGCCCCCATACACGCCTCGGCTGGGGATCAAACCCACCGCCTTGTGGTGTGCAGGGCCAGCGCTCCAACCAGCTGAGCCGCCCAGCCAGAAATACGTCTGTGTGTGTGCGTGCCCTCTCAGAACGACCCTGCCAGCAGCTGAATCTGCAAAACAGGCACTTCCCCTCCCGCCCCAGCTGGCGGGCACCGGCCGCGCCGACCCCCACGCTCCTGCGGCCTTGCACACGCATGCGGCCTCGCGTCCGAGAGCGGTTCAGGTCGCACACGCCTCCCTCGAGATGCCAGGCCCGCCGTATTCCCCCTCGTCCGCTGCTCGCTCTTACCACAGGCATCGTTTTTGGCGGGGGGGTAAGTCCCCCACCTCATGGATGGAATACGGGGTGCAGGCCCCTGCCCCAGAAGTCAGGCTGTAAGTGGGAGTCAGACCCGAGACTGACGCCCAGGGCCCTTGCTTCCTCGTCTGTCGCTCACCAGCCGATGACAGCAGGGCCGTCCCGGCGCAGCTGAGTGGCCGTAACAGAGTGCCGCCCCCGGATGGCACCTGGCACGTGGGCACCTGCGAGTGGGCGGGGCAGAGGGACCCCCACCCACCAGGCCTGGGGCTGCGGGGCTGCTGGTCAGTGAGAGGGGGTGTTGGGGGCCGGACTGCATCCACTCGGGGACCGAGGACTCTGTGTCTCTGTCCTGCCTGGTGGGCGCCCTCGGCTTCTCTGGACGCGGGGTCTCCCCCACAGGGGGTCTCTCGGGCCTGAAGCTGAGTCCCCTTCCTCACTGTAGATGTCTCCACTTACACTTCCGTAATCTAACAGGAGGACTTGAAAGTTCTCCATGGAAACGCTCCCCTCTCAATACAGAGAAGCCCTCCCCCACTGCCCGGAAATCTCCCAGTGGGGCGATTAGCTGCTTTCTTATCTGTTCTTCGTTCTGGTACAACATCACCACCCAGCACAGAAACGGGGACGTTTCACAACATCCTCAGGCCTGGTAGCCCAGCTCCCTCCCGCCACACCTGCGCGCACTTCCCCTTTTGCCCCTCCCCCAGCACACGGAAACCCCGTTTGTGGAGGGGGGTGGGGAGGTGATGAGATGAAGACAGTTGGTCAGCACTAAGCTGCGTCCTGATGGGCCGCCCTTGGCCGGGAGGAGAGCCACACGCCTCCTGGAGGAAGTGGGCGCCTGAGACGGTGCCCTCTGTTGGGGGGCGGAGGGGAGCGGGAATAAGGGACCTGCTGGGCCAGGGGGGCGGGGCCACCAGTGGGTGGGTGCCTGCCGCTACCCTGTCTGGGCGGAGGAAGGCTCCCCCGGGACCTTGGAGTCAGAGCAATGCCCAGCACAGGAGCGGCTCACGCCGGAGGGCGGAGAGGGTTTGGAAATGACGCGTCTGTTAGGGAAACCTGGTTCCCAGTGGAAGCCGGGGACGGGGGCACCACGCGCCGGGGAGCTGCTGCCACCTAGTGGCCCGTCTGGCAGCGCAGGCGCTGTGTCTGCCTCCCTTCTCTGGCCATCACCCTACCCCTGGCAGCGCCCGTGGGTCCAGGCTCACAGCGCAGCTGGGCTCTTCCTGCGTGGAAGGCAAAACACGCTGTGACGCTGTCCCCGTCACTCCTCGGGGGTGAGGTCACGTGTTAACTAACACAAAAGCAACCCAGATCTCGGCGGTCACAAAGGTCAGGCTGGTCTGGCCGGGACATGCCGCAGACCTTCAGGGAAGGGTGGACGGACACAGGCCGCCCAGGCCCTGTGTCCCCGAGGCGACTGACGGGGGTCAGTCACGTGCTCCCTCCCGCCACGAAACTGCCCCACGTGAAATGGGACGGCCTCTTCATGTCGTGACCACACAAGGAACACACAGCCTTAGGAAACCTCAACACACACACAGAGCAGGGGTCCCCTTCCGCTGCCTGCCCCCCTGACCTGTGCCGAGCTGCCCTGTCTCTTCGTGTGGATGGCACTTGGGGCCACGACGTAGCAGCACACCCGGCATGCATACGCACCGCCACTCCCCAGCACCTACTGTGTGCCCAACACCTACTGTGTGCCCGACGGGTTGTCTTGCAAACCACCCTAGGGAGTGGACGCTGTGACCCCTCCTCCAAAGGTGGAGAGAGTGGAGCTGGGCGAATTACCCAGAGCAGGGGAGCTGGCAGGTGCAGCGGACGCCTCCTGGGGTTCAAGCCCCCTCTCGGCTGCGGCTCCTCCCTGCGGGCTTGACCCGCCTTCTGCTGTGCGTCCCGGGTGTCTGGGAGGTCTGCCTTGGTTTCCAGGTTGTTGCCCCAAAGCCCAGATCCCCACACGCGGTGAGCGCTGAGTGATATCTAAAAAAGAAAGGGAAGTCAGGTTCCTGAGAGGCCCCGAGGTAGTGCCCGCCTCATCTGAAGAGGGTTCCCTCCACACCCAGCTGTCACGCTGGGTCTCCAACGTGAGCAGATCCCGCGAGAAGGGACCTGCGGGGAGGGGGCAGGAGAGGAGACGCCCCACCTTCCTGTTGGGGGTGCAGGGGGTTGGCATTTGGTTGGGTGGTTTGCTTTGGCGTCTTGGTCCCTAGCTTGGTGTCGGTGGTCATCGATCGTGTTGGGAGATCTCCTAACACGGTACGGGTTGTGATTACACAGGGCAAGGAGAAACCCGGAGTGGGTGAGCCGGGGAGAGGCCGGGGGTGAGGCCGGGAACCCCGGCCCAGGCGGGAGGCCCTCCCCGGAAACCGCGCCTCTCAGGACAGAACGGGAAGCAAGAGCGCGGTGTCTCTACGTGGGAATATTCTGGGCAGTTTTCCGTGATCCTGGAGTCTGCCCAGACCTCACACCGGCCCGAAGGGACAAGGGATGCAGCCCCCCGCTGAACAGCCCTCTGTGCCCAGAAGGCCCCTCCCACCCCCGATAGCCCCGCCCACGGATGGATGGCCCCAGACTTGGCTGCGTGAGCTCGCAAAGGTCTGACCCTTGACCTGCCCCGAAGTCAGGGTGCGGACCGGAGTCCTTGCTGCAGCTCACGCCCCGCCCCTTCCTGCAGGTCTGGCCGGCTTCGCGCGCCTCTGCCCCGGAGACCAGTACGAGGTGAGTGTCCGGCGGCGGCGCCAGGGTCCGGGTGCAGGGCTGGAGGGAGAGGGGTCAGCGGTCATCATTCCGCTTCTTAAGTTATCTTTCTTCTCCACGTCTGTTATTTGCGGGGGGTGGGGTAATGAAGCCACCAAGAAAGTTTAGAGAGTGATACAGGACCCCCCCCCCCATGTAACTTCATCCAGACTCACCCATTTTTAACACGATGCCATATGGGCTGTATTATTATTGTCACTATTGCCGTCGTTGTTATTTTGCCGAGCCATTCTAGAATGAGGTGCGAACACCGTGACCCTTTACCCCTCAATTCCTCTAAGAATGTGTCAACCAAAGAACGTGCAAACACGCAAAGAAAAGTTTTATTAAAAGTTTATTTGAGCCCACATTTTGAGGACTTGCCCGGAAGCCGGATCTCAAGGGGTGGAGAAAATGCGCCAGAGGAGGGCCGTTTTGCAGCCTAATTTATACCTTGGAATCAAGGAGACTGCGGGGAGTCCACGGTGGTAGGTGAGGGGGGCGGAGACAGCGGAGCAGGGAACCCTCTAGGATTGGCTAAGCCGCCAGATGGAGGAAGAGGTACTTCTCTCCCATTGGTGGGTCCCCGGTGGCTGGCAGGGCACGTTCGCAGCGCGTAGACGTGGTGCGCGGGCGGCGAGGGAACAGTGGGGGCGCCCTGGTCTCTGCCCGGGAGCCTGGGCGTGCGCCCCGAGCTGGTCCCGGGAGGAAGACCACCCCGGCATGTCCAAGGCCTGTGACCCTGGATGCAGAAGGAGAGTGGGCGGGGCTCCCTCTAGGGGAAGACAGGCCTTTGCCGAGGAAGCTCCGATTAATATCAACGCTGTGTCCACTGTAATTAAAAATAAATTTAAAATATGTATACTTGCAAAGTTTTTAAAAAGTTTTTTATCTTGCCCCCCTTTCAAAAGAGAACTTACGTAATTTTTTCATCTCCTCCCAAACCCTCTGTAATCCCACTTCTCGGGGAGGGGAGCCCCTAAGCCGTCAAGGTGCCCGCCCTGCCCCCGGGCCGTGTCAGGTTTCCGAGCCCCGGTCCAGCTCTGTCCCGTCATCCGGAGGGCGGCGTGCTACTGCTCGCTGTGACCGCGCAGTGGGTTTGGCTGACGGGGGTGGGGCCTCTGTCCCAAGCGCTTCCAAGGAAGTAGGGCCGACGAGAGACAGAACTGGGACCGGTGTGAGCCGCGGGCGGGGTGCAGCGGCCTTGACCGAGAAAGGGCTCCCGCCCCGGCCTCAGAGCCGGAGCTCTCGCCCTCTGTGTGTCCTGCCGGCTCGGCGCGGCTCCGCCCCCCGGAGCCCCGGGGACGCGGAGGCGAGGACCGTGGGGCAGCCCCCGCCCTCGGTGGCGCTGTTTGGTGGGACGGCGGGTGCGGGCAGCCGCTCCATCGCCGTCTGGCGTCTCCCCAGATTTTCATGAAGTACGGCCGGCAGCGGTGGAAGCTGAAAGGCAAAATCGAAGTCAACGGCAGGCAGAGCTGGGACCGCGAGGAAATGGTGTTCCTGCCCCTGATCGCCGGGCTCATCTCCATCAAGGTAGAGTGCGTCTGGCTGTTGGGCATCTCCCGGAGACTCGGCAGTGACCGCGGGTGGGTCGCAGGGTCCACGGCGAGGAGGCCCCTCTGTGCAGCCGGCAGCTGAGGCGGGTGGGCCAGGGGTACAGGGCCTCCAACGCCAGCTCTGACCCAGTGTCCCACCTGCCGCCTCCACTCTCCCCCAAGGCCTTGCCCTCTCGCTCTCTCTGCAGGTCACAGAGGTCAAAGGGCTGGCGACCCACCTCCTGGTGGGCAGCGTGACCTGCGAGACCAAAGAGCTGTTTGCAGCCGAACCTCAGGTGGTGGCCGTGGACATCAACGACCTGGGCACCATCAAGCTGAACCTGGAGATCGCCTGGTAGTAAGTAGCCCTGGGTGTGGTCTCCTCGGGCAGAAACGCCCTCGACAGGCTGGTGCCGGCCGCAGGGGGTGCGTGGGCCCTCGGCATCCGGGGAGCTTGTTCCGGAAGCCAGTGCCCAGGCCCCACCCACCCTGACTCGCTGTGACGGCCTCTCGCGGGCCGCTCTCCGGGTGACGGTCCCTCTGGGAGGAGCCTCTGTGTCACCGCTGTTGCCCCCGTCGACCTCCCGCTCTGTGACAGCTCACCCTGCCTCCTGCCTGCCGTCCTGCCTCTAAATGCACACGAGGAAGTGGGCCTCTGCAGGGAGCGGATTTGCAGGAAAACTGTGCGTGGGCTCGGGTTCGGAGGGACTTGAGTGACATGAACGCGGGGCTTCCCGGCCCGCGGGCCGGCGGCTGTGCCCAGCTGCCCTCACGGGGACCTGCTGTCTTCCAGCCCGTTCGACGTGGAGGACTCAACCCCGTCCTCGGGTGCGGGGAGCAAGGCGGCCGCCCTGCAGAGGAGGATGTCCGTGTACAGCCAGGGCACCCCGGAGACGCCCACCTTCAAGGACCACTCCTTCTTCGTAAGTGCGGCGGGGTCTCTGGGGCGCGGGTGCGCGTGGTGCACGGCGTTAGGGCTTCTCAGGAATTCCCGGCAGTCGGGCTCTTCAGTTCCCCTGCTCCCGCGGGGACTCTGCCGGGTGCCTCTGGTCCGCGCGCAGGTGTGAGCCTCTCTGCCTCCCCTGTCCCCTCCCCCAAGCTACCTGCTGCTTTGACAATACCTCGCAGACCACCCCCAACCTTGTCTGAGATGAGCATTTGAGAGACGTGAGTGTGTCCGTCAGAAACGCTTGCTGCAAAGCTAACCCGGTAACCTGGTGCTCTCTAACCCGCCCCTCCCTGCTCGCCCTGGCTCCGGAAGAGATGGCTGCAGCCTCCCCCGGACAGGCCCGGGCTGTCTGTCTTGAGTGCCTTGCGAGACTCGCTCTTTGCCAAGCTGCGCCGGGGCAGCTCTCTCTGCGACCTGCCCTCCCTCAGGCCGAGGCCCAAGGCGGCGCGAGAGTCCTATGTGAGTGCGAGGCCGGGCTGGTGGCCCACCGTGTGCCCTGTGTGTCTCCGTCCTGTCCTCCTCTCCGCCTCGCTCACCGGGTGACGGCGCCCGCCAGCCTGGCCCCAGGCCGGGACACTCGGTCCCGCCTGCGCCGTGGGTGGAGAGGCCATCTGTCTTTCCCTTCTCGCCCTCCCTGCTGTCGCGCTGCGCTGTGTCTCTGCTGTGGTGTAGGTATCCGTGGTCGCCAGGGTTGCATTCTCCCAAACTCAGGCACCCCCGAGGTCAGCGGGGAGGTCGTGTCCTGGAGAGGAACCAGCTCTCCCAGTCTTCACGCACGGTTTTCACGTGGGAAAACTGGCACGCGAGGAACCCGGGGGGAGCGAAACCCGGTTTACGAGGGCGGGTTTTATGTAAGAAGGTTCTGAGTCTCATTTATTGTCATGCTTCCACAAGACCGACTGAGTAAGAGAAACTCTGTCACTCGTAGTCGGGAATGCATCCTGACGCGCACCGTGTGTGGTGTGCACTGTGTCACAGGGGAATGCAAACACACACACACACACATTCACTTGCACACACACTCACACGCAGCTCCTTTTAGAATGTGCCCCTCCTCCTGGGCGCCCCCCAGCTGGATGCAGGAGGCAGTGCCCTGACTGGGGCCCCATCACCTCACACCTGCGCCGACACACAGCACCGCCCCCCCCCCACACACACACACTGTCCTGCGCTGGCTGCACAGGCGGGGCCCCGAGGAAACAAGCTGGGGTGCAGCGAGGAGCCTCCCCTGCAGCTCCCGAGGAGGGTCCCGGGCCTCCTCGTCCCCCCACCCCCACCCCCGACTCTGCGGAGCAGGTGCCATAATCAGTAGTGGTGGCTGTGACTCAGCCCGAACGAGGAGGGGGGCGGGGGGGGGCGTTGCACACCCTGCCTGCAGAGGCTCCACGGGAGCCCCCGGAGCCCGGGCAGGAATTCTCCGGTTCAGGTTGCCTCCCCGCCAGGCGAGCCCAGAGGCCGCGGTGACCTGGCCGCAGGGGTCAGGGGCCACGGCCCCAGCCTCACTGCCGGAGGAGGTCAGGACTATCCTTCGTTCTGTCTGCGTCCCCCCACACACACCATTCCCCTTGATCTAGCGCTCTGTTACTACCAGCACTGTCGTGATAGTGCAATGCTTTATTAGTAAAAAGAGAACACACTGACCTAAAAAATCAAACCTGGAACCCAAGAGAGATCACCCGTGTCGAAGGACCCGGCCTCAGATAACTAGCGAATGTCCCCAGCTCAGGCTGGGCACTTCGACGCCACCCAGCCCGCAGGGTAAGGACGCTGACCCGGAAACTGCTCCTTGGAACCTTCTTGGCTACCTGGATATTCCCGCCCTCTGTCTCCCAGTCCCGCCCCCGAGCCGCCGCTGCCTGACCCGCCCGGGGCCGCGCATGCGCAACGGGGAGCCCAGGCGCCCAGACGCGGGTCGGCGCTGGGTCCGCGGGCCTGGAAGACAGACGCTTGGCGTGTCGGTCTCTCTCCTCTTGAAGACGCGATGCCGGTGTCTCTCTGGCCTTAAATCACCCGCCATGTGGTTACAAAATTCATACAGCATCCCAAGAGCTTGGGACTTGTGGGTGGAGATTTTCAAACGGTGATTTACAAGGACCAAAGCAGAGCAAGGCATCGCGCCTTCTGAGTGAAGTGGCATGAATGTTGGAGCCTTTTCAGCTAGACGCCAAAATAATAATAATAATAATAATAATAATAATAATAATAATAATAATAATAATAATAGTGATGTTACTCGAAACTATGTCGGCCAAATACTGTGAAGTCCTGGGTGTAGGAGCAATTTCCTTTCCAGGCGGCCCGCCCTTCTTTGGAAAAAAATAAAAATTTGAAAGCCAGGAAAACGTCAATGAACTCTCACCTATTCACCATGGAAACAGAGCTTGTAAAGGCTTCTTTTCTTGAGCCAGATGCGCACACACAAAACCAACAAACAAAACGCTACTCTGCTGCAAGTGCTGGGTCTTTATTTTATTGGGTTTATGTTTTATCCGGAAGCCCACCACGCCCAATGCCTCACCTGTGTTTAAAACAGTAACGCAGTGTGCCCTGGCTGGTGTGGCTCGGTGGACTGAGCGCCGGACTGCAAAGCAAAGGGTCCCCGGTTCGATTCCCAGTCAGGGCACAGGCCTGTGTTGCGGGCCAGGTCCCCAGTAGGGGGCGCGCGAGAGGCAACCACACACTGACGTTTCTCTCCCTCTCTTCCTCCCTCCCTTCCTCCTGTCTTTAAAATCGTAACGCGATGCCTGTCGTCCGCAGGCGAATCTGCCTGACGACATCTTTGAGAACGGAAAGGCCGCCCAGCAGAAAACGCCCCTGTCTCTCAGCTTCAGCGACCTGCCCAACGGGGACTGCGCGCGCCCCGCCAGCCCCGCCGGCGGCCGCCCCAGCGCGTGCGCGGCCAACCCCGAGATCACCATCACGCCGGCCGAGCGGCGCCCGGGCAGCCTGGCCTCCGAGAACCAGGGCCCCGACGACTCCGGCTCCGCCTCTTCCAGAAGCTCCGCGGGAGGCGGCCCGGGGCCCCGGGCTCCCCCGGAGGAGGAGGAGGAGGAGGAGGACGCTGAGGGGCCCGGGAGCACCGAGGCCGGCCGCGCGCCCTCCGGCGCCGCGCCCGAGCGCCTGTTCCTGGAGAGGGACGTGGCCGAGGCGCTGCTGCGGGAGTCGGACGAGGCCTCGGAGCTGAAGCCCGTGGAACTGGACACGTTCGAAGGCAACATCACGAAGCAGCTGGTGAAGCGGCTCACCTCGGCCGAGGTGCCGGCGGCCGCGGAGAAGCTGCTGTTCGAGGGCTCGGGCTCGGTCGGAGGGGAACCGGAAGGCTGCCGCGCCACCGCCTTTCTCGACGGGAGCCTGGAGGATGCGTTCCACGGGCTTTTCCTCGCGCTGGAGCCGCACAAGGAGCAGTACACGGAGTTTCAGGACCTGAACCGCGAGGTGGTGCATCTGGATGACATCCTGAAAGTAAGTCCTTTCCAGGGACGTTGGGTTGGGCGGGGAGGCAGGCGGCTGGTGCCCACCTTCCAGGTCCAACAGCGTCTTTACTTCTCACCCTGTCCCGTCGCCGGGTGTGTGCATCGTCACCACTTAAGTGGCATTGATTTTCACCGGTGGTAGCAAATATCAATTTTTATTTTCCTGACGGCAGATGAACTTAACAAACGTGACTGGTAGTTAAATCAATTGCTCTAAAGCAGAGGTGTCCAGCCCACTGCCCCCGGGGGTCACGGTCGAGGACTTTTTGGCTTGACTGTGGGGGAAGACATCACGTAAATTATGCACAGACCTTGTTTTGCTCATCGGTTTTCGTGAGTGTATTTACTGGGTGGCCCCGGACAACTCTTCTTTTTCCAGTGTGGCCCAGAGACGCCCAAAGGCTGGGCGTCTCTGCTGTAGAGTCTTAAGAACCTCTAAACTTTATCAGCCCCAGAGTTCTTCTTCCCAGACGTGAAACACGGCACTGGGGTCCCCGTGATCTCATTCAGAGGTGACTCCGGAAGTGTGTGCCCGGGGTTGGGGTCAGAGCCAGCAGTCCTGGTGGGCGGCCCCCGCATCCCATCCCCCACGGTTTTAAATAACGCCGCTCACCCGGGAGAGAAGGTGACTTTCTCTCCCGAATCCCACTTCTTGTGTTCTCTGCCTTTCCGCTGGGGTTTTTATCGCCACAGAGGAGAGAGCTGGGATCCTTTTTCTTGACAGAGCCATTCTTTGGGGGCCTGTTCTGGAAGATAAGCTCCCAAATGAGGTGCCCGGGACCTGCTGGGACCTGCTGCACCCCCGTGTGTGGCTGTCCTCCAACCTGGCCTCCCCCAGTCCCCCTGGAAGGACATTCCCTGGGTCCCACTGGCCTGGCTCTGGAAGGGAGCCCTGCCCAGGGCCAGTGACAACCCTGCTCCGCAGGTCCAGGGCCTCACACGCCCACGACAAACTGATTCCTTTGCGGGCACAGCCTCCCAGGCACAGGGAAGGCCGTGCGGGCCCTGCTCTCAGTGAAACGCCACCAGGAAGCACCCACTCGGGGCTCGTGCCTGGAGGCCGCCTTGTCTGGAATTCCGGGAGCAGCACCTTCTGTCCCCACTGCCAGCTCTCGTGTGCCCTGCTGCCCCGCTCTGTGCAGTGGGCCGCCGTGTCCGACGTCCAGGGCTAAGACGCCTTGGCCTCACCTGAAGCCAGCACCTTACAGGGAGGCCGAGGCGCTGGCAGCTCCCGCGTCCAGGCACCCGGGGCGCTGCGTTGCTCAGCCACCAGCAGACACTGAGCGAGCCACCCGCTCGCGCTGGGAAAACCTGGCGGCGACGGAGTTCTCTCCAGCGTCACTTCCGTCGGCTGTCCTTCCCAGACCACCCTGCTGCTAAAACCCCTCTTGGCCCCTTCGTTGTGCAGAGCGGTGTTCAAACCCGTCCTCGCTGTGCAGCTCGGGGGCTGCAGGTAGCAGGTGTAGGAGAGGAGACCGCAGAGGCGGGCAGCGGCGCCCCCACCGCGCCTGGGGCAGGACGGGCCTCGGAGTGGAGGTCTGGGGCAGGCGCTGTGTCTCCGGCCAGAGGTCAAGCATCGGCTGGACGAGGCTTTCTCTTTTCCCTTCACATTCCTAGGATGATGCTAAACCCTGAGGATGAGAGCCTAGATGGCGCCGCCTCTCGGACGGAGACCCCTGGGGGCGAGTGAGCAGCTCTGGTGTTAAAGACCCTCCGCTCTCTGGCCCTGGGGTGTCAGACACAGGCCCCTGCGGGGCCATCCTGCCTGGCACTCAGAAGTCGGCAAGGAGCGCCACCTGCCTGCACGGAGGACTCTTAGTTCTTCTAATGGGCAGGACTTGCCCCTCCCACCTGCCCCAGCCTCCCCTTCTGTGCTGGGAAGAGCCTGTGTCACCTCCGCGCCCGTGGCCGCGGGCGTGACTCTGTCTGTGTTGTCTTTGTGCCTGCCCAGCACCGCAGGGGTCTGTCTCTGGGCCGCAGGGGTCTGTCCCCGAGGCCCCCGGCCCGGTCAGGGAGGTGTCGGGACACGCTTCCTCGCAGGCCGGGCCGCCTGTGCAGGCGCCCAGCCGTCCCTCTCCTCCAGGCTCACGGAGGACGGAGGCTGTGGATGTACATGAATCTCGGGCCGCTCACCTGGGGAGCGCGGGTCAGCGGGCGGCTCGGCCCTCTGCTCCTGGGAGTCGCCCTGTCCACCCCCAGGCGGCAGCAGCTTGGCCGGCAGCTGCTGTCTCGGGAGGACGTGGCCGCGGGGAAGGAGACGGCCCTCGGCCCTCTCCGTCTCCGTCCGGCTGTGCCACGGGGGGCCGAGCTCCGGCAGAGAGGCACGGCGGCCCCGCCTCCCGGGGCGTCTCGGTTACATGGGTTTTGAACACTCTGTGACACAAAGTTCACGCAGAAGTGTCGAGAACAGACAACAGAGCCCCGTGCCGCTCCCCACCCCGACCCCGGCTGCCGCGTGCCCGGCTCACGGCCAATGTCGTCATCTGCTCCGCCTGCTCCCCGCCCCCCCCCCCCGCGCTGATTTGGAACAGATCCCACGTGCTGTGCCATTTGATTCTTGGTGGTTCTTTTTCTAATGTGACAACCTTAAATGTGTTTTTTAATGCCAATAAAATAAAACAAAAGCTTAAAACAAAGCCTGTTCCCTGTTTAGTCGGAGTGGGTGCCATGTTTTCTACTTGGGAGGTGCTGACGGTGTGTCCCCCCCTCCTCGGGGCTGCTGATGGTGCCCCCCCCTTGGGAGCTGCTGATGGTGTGTCCTCCTCCGAGGCTGCTGACGATGTCCCCCCTCCAGGGCTCCTGATGGTGCCCCCCCTTGGGGGCTGCTGATGGTGTCCCCTTTGAGGCTGCTGACAGTGCCCCCCCCTTGGGGGCTGCTGACGGTGCCCCGTGCCCTGCCTCCGCAGTGCAAGCCCTCCGGAAGCCGCAGCACGCCCTCCAGCTTGAGTCTGACGGTGGAGAGCGCCCTGGAGAGCTTCGACTTCCTGAACACGTCGGACTTCGACGAGGAGGAGGAGGAGGAGGAGGCCGAAGAGGCGGGCACGGCCGGAGGAGGCGCCGACTCCGTGTTCTCAGACACAGAGACGGAGAAGAACAGGTGAGCCTCGCCTGGCATCCGTCTCCCGGCCTTCCTGAGTTGCACGTGGCCGTCCCACCCCTCCCTCCGCTCCCTTCCCTGCCACCAGGGCGTCTCTGCGGGGGCCTGAGCTCATCGGCGCCAGCCCCAGCCTGGGGTAGCCTTAGAACACAGCTGCCCTGGAGCGGAAGCAAGGACCGCTGGTGGTGTCACTGGACCTCCGGCCCTGCAGGGGGCGGCGGCCTTCCCCGGGCTGGGCAGGTGGTGGGGAGGGAGGAGGCAGGTGACACTGCCACCTGCTCCATGGGCTTCCTGGTCCTCCGACGACAGCCTGGAGTCCGAGTCCGACTTCAGGGAAGCAAAACAAGCCCAATTACTGGGTGAGGGCAGCTTTGCCGCCCGTCTGACTTTGGCCTTCCCGACCCTCCCTCGGGCGGTGCTCACATTTTGGGTGTGTCGCTGATCCCGGAGGGTGTCTCCGTCCGAAAGAAAAGGTGAGAAGTAGAACGTGTCCCTTGAGCACGTTCAGGGCAGGACCGAGACGGGGCCTCGGCGAACGTGATGGTTCCGCTGTCCTGCACTCCACGCGGAGTGCGCACCCCAGCAGTCCACACTCCGCACGGAGCCGCTTCTAACGCGGCTGAATGTGGGGAGTGCCACGCAAACCCCACGTCTTCCTGCACGCCCGTCCTCCCGCGCTGTCACGTGCCAGGCGGAGGCGAGGCACCCGTCTGCAGTCTTCCCCCTGCCGGAGGAAGCGTTTCCACAGCAGGACCATGCGGCTCTTGTACCTGCCGTGGGACCTGACGTTACCTGTGCCCGATCGGGCCAGTCTTGCTGTTCGTCGTCAGTGGCGTTGGGGACGTGGTGAACTTCGGGCTCGCGTTTGAGACGTGTGCCAACTTCCCCGGGTTCACGGTCAGGCCCCACGCTGGGGTCTGCTTTCCCCTCGGGGGCAAACTCGACCCCCGTGAGCTCCCGGCACCTGTTAGCTCTAGTGCCGACGTCCGTTGCCTGTGCGGACTGGGAGTGAGGGGCCGGGCATCGGGTGCCACCCGGTGCCTGCCCGGCCCTGTCAACTTGGGCACCCGGTCATCGTCTCTGCCGGCCATTCTGCCGCGGGTGAAAGGAGACAGCCCCCTCCCCGGCACCCGGGCTCCTTTCAGAATAAAACAACTGATGCACCAGATCTAGTTTTGGACGCACGTGCCCCCACGGCGTGACTCCCCGGCCGTGGGGTTTACTCGCACGCAGCCCGAGGGGCAGGGGGAGCCGCGCCTCCACCCACTGGAACGCGCTCAGCTCTCCTCCGAGTGCGGCGGCCCGGCCTCCTCCCGGCCGCTTCCCTCCCTCTCTCCAGGGCGGGCCTGGCGCAGGCCAGGAACCTGTCTCGGGTCACGCAGGTCACGCTCAGCAGGGCTGCTGAGGGGAGCCAGAGATGCGGGGCCAGTTTAGGCCCAGGATGCCGGGCGGTCCCCCCTCGCAGGTGCCCGGGCAGGCAGGTTCCCAAGCCGCGTCAGGGAGACGCTTTGTAAAGGGCTCCGGGGCACATTTACCCCTCTCGTTAGGGTGCGAGTTTGAGTCCCGGGGGGCTGCAAGAGCAGTTGTCCTGTGACTCGCTCTGACACCAGGCGAGCGGCGCCGGGCGGAGGAAAGAAGCCATTCCCGAAAGGCAGGCGGCGGCCGTGGGGGGCCTCGGGCCAGCCACTCACGGGCTGTCCGTGTGCCGCCCCCACAGCTACAGGCCGGCGCACCCGGAGGCCCGGGTGCACGTGAGCGAGGCGCTGACGGAGGACACGGGCGTGGGGACCAGCGTGGCCGGCAGCCCCCTCCCGCTGACCACGGGCAACGAGAGCCTGGACGTGGCCATCGTCAGGCACCTGCAGCACTGCACCCAGCTCGTGCAGGTAGGGCCGCCCTCGGGGGGCGGGGGGCGCGTGCTGCTGCTTCTAGGGCTGCCGCGGAAGCGAGGGGTCAGCCCCCAGAGAACAGCCCTGCTCGGAGGGTGCCCTGGCCGGGCGGCTCTGCAGGCTGGAGCTCGTCCTGGGCACCAAAGGCTGTGGGTTCGATTCCCACTCAGGACCCATACCTGGGTTGTGGGTTCGATCCCCATTCAGGATGTGTACGGAGGCAACCAGTCAGTGTTTCTCTCTGACACTGATCTCTCTCTCTCTCTCTCTAAATAATCATAGAAACATGTCCTCAGGTGAGGATTGAAAAATAAATTTTTTTAACTCCAATGGGTGTGCCCATTCTCCCAAGACCCTGGGCTTCCGGTCTTAAAGCCCAGCTCCCGGACCCCACGCGCCCGCGGGAACAGTGTGGTTAGCTGCCACTCTGAAGCCATTCGGCAATAGATGGGAATAACGTGCTTAAGGAAAAAGAAAGAACTTGCGTTCTGCCACCTACAAGTGGGCTTTGAAAGCGGCTGTGACTGCGCGCACGCCAACACGAAGGCATCCGGTGGGCGCCCCCGCCCCCGCACCCGGGAGCTCAAAGCGGCGGCCTACCGGTCCCCCGCTTGGATAAGTGCCGATTAGCAGCCACACCGAACACTTTATAAGCCATTAGCCACCCCAGTGGGCTGTGATCTGGGACATGGGGGAGCTTATTTTTCTTCTCAGATCAAGCTGTTTACCACTGAACATTTTGCAACAGTGCAGCTCAGGTTTTGAAATCCTCCCGTGGCCGGAAGTGCCCCGCCCCCGCCCCCAGGCTCGGCTTCCGTCCTCCCTCCCCGCTGGTGGTGGCGGGTCTCTCCCGCCGGCATCCGCCCCTCCCCCAGCTCGCCCAGGTGCGGAGATGCACGGGGAGCAGGAAGAGAGGGAAAGCGAGTGAATGACCTTTCAGGGCGGCGGGCGGTCAGGGAGGGCGCAGGTGGAGAAGGAACAGGGACCACTGGAGGAGGGGAGGTAGGGTGAAACGGGGGGTCGGCGAGGCCAGCCGTGGGCGGTGCTGCTGCTTCCTGACATAGAATTCACTTCTCCTCCCCCCCACGTGGCCCCCGACGCTGACGCGCTGGGGTGGCTGGTCCACACTTACCCTCCCTCCACGTGCCCCCCGCCCCCCACACTGACCCGCCCCCTGATGATCTCGTCTGTCGACTGCTGGGTTCCCGTGTCCCGTGCTGAACCAATCCGGCGGAAGGCGGGTCCTTTTTTCTGGCCCAAACGGGGAAGACTGTCCTGTACTCGCAGCCGTTTGAATGCGATGGCTCTCGCGGCTCCTGTCCCCGCCGAGGCTGAGACCGTGCTGAGCGAACTGCCAGTCCCGTGTCGTGGGAAAGGCCCCTTCGTGGGCCCCTGTGGGAGGGCGAGCGTTCTGGCCAGGGACTGCCGGGGCGCAGTGTTCAGGGTGGTGCCTCTCCCACGGCGGGGCCACGGTCACAACCACTCACCTCTTCCGTGGCGCAGTCCACGCTGGAAAAGCGAAAGAGGCGCTCTAAACATGAAGGGGGGGCGAGGAGGGGGAGTGAAGGGGGGAGTGCCACTTAAAATCCTCACTTTTCACCGGCACCCACTCCTGAACCGGTGCGTGTGCGTGCTCATTCGGTGCATGGGTACAGAGAGGTGGAAACGGAAGTCCCGTAAGGGGCGCGGTGCCGTAACTACATTTGAGACAAAGTAGTTCAGTCCTGGCCGGCGTGGCTCAGTGGGCCGGAAAGTCCTGCTTGTCTTCGAGGCCAAACGCGTTAGGCAGGGCAGGACCCTGGCACAGGTGCGCCCCTGCCCGCCAGGTGGGCAGGAGGCACAAAGGCAGACAACCCCCCCCCGCCCCCTAACAGGTGCCCCGTGCTTCCCCCCCTTCCGCTTCCGACCTGCACGCAGGTCACTCACTCACTCACTGTGTAGGCGGCCGGGTCAGCCTCCTTAGCCTCGCTGTACCTCAGTTTACCTCTGTGAGACGAGGCCCTCCCCGGGTCATGGTGAGAGGGAGGGTGAGCCCGCACAGGCCCAGGGCTCTGACAGCGTCTGGCCCCCGAGCTCTGGTGGCTGCGGATGTGCAGCCTGAGTGCGCCCCCCACGGTTCTTGAGCAGGTTTACGGGGTCACAGTGGCCCAGCAGCAGCACTGCTGGGAAATCCCTGAATTGATATATAGGCGCAAAAAAAACAACAACAAACCCTTAAAGCAGCAAAAGCCTGTCAGTGTATCAGGAACTGGGAGCGTCATCGCGGGGGAGCAAGGGCACCGTGTGAGTTCACTCGGCGTCAAGGTCAAGGCTGGGAGGGGGAGCGCTGCGGACCACATAATGCACACGGTTCCTTTTGTTTGTTTTCTCAGCAAATCGTTTTCTCGAGCAAAACCCCCTTTGTGGCGAGAAACCTCCTAGAGAAGCTCTCCAGGCAAGTCCAGGTGATGCAGCGGCTGGCGGCCGTCAGCGACGAGAGCGTGGGGGGCGTCGGCTCGGTCTCGGAAGGTGAGCCGGCGAGGCCGCCCCGTCCGCCCCGCTGGGCCTGCTCTCCGCTCGGCCGCACGGCAGGCCGCAGAAAGGCACCCACGGAGCGGGGGTGTGGGGGGTCTCGGGGCCGTGCCCACAGCCGTGCGGTTTTGCTAGCACCGCTCAGTACCCACCCCCCCACCCCCGCTCTCGAGGGGGCCTCCACGTCCGGTGGGCAGACACTAGTGGACACACAGAGCCCGAGTCTCCCCCCGGGCAGCCTCACGGGCTACGTCTGCCTGTGCAGTCCCGCTGGGGGACACGTGACCGGGGCGGCCCTCCCGTCACGGAGCTGGCTAGGGCAGCTCCTACGGCGGCCGAGGGTCCAATGCAGGACGCCCCAAGCCCGATAGGGACCCACGGCCTTGGTGGGTGAGGGTCCCTGGCAGAGAGTTTTGGGTGGGGAACCTGTTGGGGGGAGGATGCCTCAGAGCTGGTGTGGTTGGGTGGCGGGCCCAGAACCCCCGTCTCCCCCATGCTGGCTCTTCAGCGGGGACAGCGGGGCGTGGCCACGGCTGCTGTCTCTGAGGGAGCCGGGGTGTCCTGGGGGCCTCCCTGTGCACGCTGCCCCCTGCTCCGACCCGCCAGGAGCAGGGGACCTCGGCAGGTGTCGTGAAAAGGGGCAGGGGGTGCTCTGAGCCTGTGCGTCTGTGCTGTGACGTCACGGGAGGCGGGGCCCGGGGTCTCCGTCACGGAGACCCGACAGCCTGCTCGCTGCCCCGGCTGCGTGAGCTCCCCCTCACGCCTTCTGGGTCCCCCAGGCCTCCCGCAGGCCAGCGGTCTTTAAACACAAAATGAAACGGCCCTGGCTGGTGTGGCTCGGTGGACCGAGTGCCGGCCCGAGAGGCAAAGGGTCGCCGGTTCGATTCCCAGTCAGGGCACGTGCCTGGGTTGCAGGCCTAGTCCCCAGTAGGGGGCGCACGAGAGGCAACCACACATCGATGTTTCTCTCCCTCTCTTCCTCCCTCCCTTCCCCTCTGTCTAAAACTAAAATAAATAAAATATTTTTGTAAAACCACCAAACCATCAAAAGGCCGGCGGTGACGCTCCCCCCGCCCCCGCACAGGCCCTCCCCCCGCCTCACCCACTCGCTCTCTTCCCAGCCCTCCCCGAGCTCCACGACAAGCTGCCCCTGCTGTCCTTCTGGACCCAGTGCTGCGGCTCGGCGGGCGCGTACCACAGCTCCGCGGACAGGGTGGTCCGGCAGCTGGAGGCCAGCTTCGCCGCAGCCGTCAACCGAGACCACCCGGGACTGGCAGACGCAGGTGGGTCCAGCGGGCGGGAGGCCCGCACGCGGTCCCGGGGTCCCCACCGCACCCCACCCCCTCGGCCGCCCCGGCCCAGGGTGTCCCCGGCCCTGACGGCACCGAGAGGAGAAAACGGACGTGCCCTGCTTCCGCCGCCAGCAGTGACTGTGCAGAGCGCGGTGTGTCTGTGCCGCCATGTGGGGGCGTGGCCAGTGCGGGGGGCGTGTCCAAGGGCATCACCACCCACCGCGCCAAGTCAAGTCCCCCCCCCACCCCCCCCACCGCCGATCCAGCAGTTCGGCTCCTCGCTGCACCCCGGGAAGTGCGCGCCCCGCCCCTCGCCGGGAAGTGCGCGCTCGTGCCCACAGACAGAGGAGGGGCGGGCGTGCAGGGAAGTCGGCCGCGGCTCTGCGGACGGGCCGGCACGGGGAACAGGCCCAGTGCCCCTCAGTACGGAGCAGACGAACTGCCGTGGGTTCACGCACCGGGGGTCCCACCGCGGCGGGGGAGAGGGACACGCCGCTGGTGCAGGCACCGCGTGGGGCGAATCCCACAGACGTCCCCGCGAGTGAAAGGGGGCGGATACCCGAGCGCTTGCTCAGCAGGTTCACCGAGTCCCGTGCTGGGCGCAGGCCGGGCCGACTTGGGGGTGGGGGAGGGGCCGAGGCCCCCTGCCGCGGCCCAGGGCTCGTCACGCAGCTGTGTGGGTCTCACATGTGGTCGGCTGCACCCTGAGGGTCAGCCCACGTGCGCTCCCCACTCCGTCCTGCTCCGCCGCGAGGACAGGCAGACGGGCAGACGGGCACGCTTCTGAACAGCCGCTTCGCGCCTTCTCCCTCCGAACAGTGTTCCGCACCCTGGTGTCCCAGATCCTGGACCGGGCGGAGCCCCTGCCGCCCTCCAGCCTGCCCTCCGAGGTCGTCACCGTGTTCCAGTACCACAGCTACTTCGCCAGCCACGGCGTGAGCGACCTGCCCGGCTACCTGCACCAGCTGGCCCAGCAAGGTGGGGCGTGCGCTGGGGAGACGCGGTCTGGTGCGCTGGGGGGCGGGGGGCGGCCTCGCGTCGTGCTCGGCTGTAGCTTCTAGGTGCGTTTTTAACCAGGGCAGTTGTTTATGAAACAGTGAAACTACAGGAACATCTCCAGCAGGAGAAATAGGAGATTACAGCAAAAAAAAAAATATGTTTGTTCACAAACGTGTCCGCTGGGTGGGGGTGCCGCTCTGTCGTCAGAACGGGAAGCTAGCTTCTGTTTCCCGTCTGTGCGGGCCACGCACACCGGCCCTGGTGCCTCCGTGGCTGACGGGGGCCGTGCCTGGGGCTCTGGGGAGGGATTCGCCCGCAGTCCTGGTGCGTGGGACGTGGTTTGTCCAAGCGGGCCCCCAAATCCTGCCTTTTATTGGCCGTCTCCAATTCCAACCACTACCGGGACTCCGCCGCACCCGGCGGCCCGAGCGCCGACGGGCAGAAAGCAGAGGTGGGGTCCCTCGGGCCCGGTTCGGCCCGAGCGACGCGGCGAGAGACCAGTTCGCTGTGTCGGGAAGACCGCAGCAGGCGTGTGCTTGGGCTTCCGTCACGGTGTGTTTTCACACCTGCGGTGTAGCCCGTCCGTGAGCTGTTCTGTGGCCGTGTGCCGTGGAGAGCCACGTCACTGGCCCACGTGTGACCTGCCCTTTGCCTCCCTCGGGCCCCTGGAGGGACCTGTCCTGTTCTCCCTCGGGGGAGACGCGCTCTCTGTCGTAGGCACCGGGCGGGGTCCGTCCCTGCGGGTTCGTGGGGCCCTCGCTGGCGGCAGCGGTGATGAGCTCTCTGCGCTTCTCCCCCCCCCCGCCCCCATCCCCCCTCCCCCCGCAGTCGCCCTGGTGCAGAGCCTGCCGTCGCTGCGGGAGGACAAGCTGCTGCAGGCGGTCGGCGGCCTCACCGCCCACGGCCTCCCGGCCCAGCAGGAGGTGCTCCGGACGCTGGCCCTGCTGCTGACCGGCGGCCACAGTGGCGTCAGCCAGGCCGTGCGGCTGCACCTGGCCGAGGCCGCCAGAAGCGAGCCCTTCAGGGAGAAGGTAGGCACCGGCCTCATTTCCGTCACCTGCTCTGAACGGGTGGCCGTTTTTCTCTATATCATAATTGGCGCCTGCTTGTGAGTGATACCTACTCTGTAAAACAGTTTTTTGACGTTGAAATTTACTTTTCAGTGACAGTTGGCACGCAGCATTATTTTACATGACTGTCAGGCGCACGGCTCAGCGGTCAGGCATCTGTGTAATCTACGAAGTGGTCCCCCGATGAGCCTCATGCCCCCCCCGGTCACTGTCCAGAGTTCTGACACTGTTGTTGACTCCGTTTCCTGCACTGAATGTCACATCCTGTGAAAGACAATTTAAAATACAAAACTACGTTGTGATAGCTAAGTGTCTGTGTACTGAAGTAAAAAAAAAAAAAAGACGGCTCTTTAAATGAACAAGCATTGTGTTGGTTCTCTGCTCTGAAGGTCACGCAGAGTATCTTTACCTGTAGCCTCTCTCGGGCAGTAAAGGTGACACAAGCCTTTAACACGGCCACCACGCGTGTCCTCACACTGTCCTCCCTCCCCCCAGGCCGTACTCTATTACTGTGAAGCCCTGAGCGCGCCGGACCTGCAGCTGCAGAAGGCAGCCTGCCTGGCCCTGCGAAGCCTGCAGGTGAGGCCGGCGCGGGGCGGGGCCGGGCCGTGGGCGGGGCAGCTCTCCACGGGGTGTGTGGTGCCTGGCGTAGCGGCCCTGCTCCCTCTGGATTAGTTCGGAGTTTTGCTTTTGTTTTCTTTAAACAGTAACTAAAGGTGACTTTGTTCCGTGAAAATCCGCATGTTTCGGGACACGATCATGTGTCCGCTTGCCGCGGGGTCAGCACTGGAAAAGTGTGTCTCCCGGAAAGAGAGGGCAGGGGATGACTCACCGAGTGGCACGGGGCCCAGAAAGAGCAGGGCTGCTCGGACCCGGCCGAGGACTGCAGTCCGGCGTGCTGGGGGTGCCCGGACCGACCCCTTCCTCCCGGAGGGCGGTCCTCCGCACTGCGTGAAGGACTCTGTCCACACTCTGCCGGGCCCCGCTCCCCGCTCCACGCCCAGGCCGTGAAAGCCAGGGCGGCGCAGGGCTCCCCGCCCACGCCCACCCCTGGACACAAGCCACAGAGCCCGAGGTGCTCAGCCCCGGGGCCCCCGGGGCCGGCCCCACCTGCCTTACCGGCACATCACCCAGGACCCAGCCACGCCACCTTCCAGTCCCAGGCCCCCGGCCCCGCCGCCTCCGGGTCGGGAGCCCAGCTTCCTCCCAGGAATAAAGCCCTGACTTGTGTCCGTGATCAGCTCCCCGGATCTCAGCGGGAGCGAGTGGCTGGAGCCGCTCCCCGCCCCACCCCCGCAGGTTCTCCCTGGGCCCCAGTCACTCCCAGCGTTTCCCGGCCCCGTCTTCCCATCCCCTCGATGACCCGGCTCGCTGTCGGCAGGAGTCACCCCAAACCCCACCAGTCTCACCCCACCTCCAGCCTCCTGGGTCTGCGAGGAGCCCACAGCCACCTCCCAGCAGCAACCGCCCCCACTCGTCCCCTCCCTCCCTCCCTCCCTCAGCCCCGTCCTTTGGACGCCATTCCTGAGCAGCCCGCTGGGGCGCCAGGGAACCGGCCCCTGGCTCCTGGCACCCAGCTGAACAGTGGGTGGGGGGTGGGGGTTCCCCACCGGCTCTGAGACGCTAAGTCTCACACGGCCCCGACATGCGTGTGAGGGCGTGCTGCTGACGGCCGCCCCCTCCCCGCAGGCCACGGAGAGCATCAGGATGCTGGTGGCGCTGTGTCGGTCCGACGCGGAGGAGATTAGGAAGGTGGCCTCGGACACGCTCCTGGCTCTGGGTGAGTTCCCCCCACGGGGCTGTTTGCACGAGTCCTCAGCTGTGATCGGTTGGGCAGTGGCACCACCAGTGGGGCAAAGCCACCTGGTCTGACGCTGGCAGCCTGCCAAGGTCACGGAGCGTCCCTGGCCTCTGTCACCCCCGTGAACGTCACTTCATTAGTGTTCTTCCTGGGTGACCGTTTATGTCCTGAGGCTCCGTCCTGGGGTTGAAAGTGTCGCCACAGACAGAGCAGTCTTCGCCGGCGTGGCTGTGGGACGGATAACAGAGTCAGTCCTTACCGCCCAGAAATCATTTCTCTCCCTAACAACGTGCCCAGGGCGTCCCTAGTGGGCACTGCTTTTCTTCCCGCGTGTTCTGGAACGACCGTGAGGGAAGGCAGGCATTCTCGAAGCGCAGCCACCCCCCGAGGGCCTCGGGGGTGTGGCTGCCGCGGGCTGACCCTGTGCGGGGGGTCACCGCAGCTGCCCGCACAGCAGCTGCCCGCTCGGCCGAGCTCTCTGCCGGTGGCCGCGGCCTCTGGCACCACCAGGCCCTGCTCCCCACGCTCCAGCCCGGTCCCCCTCCGGGGACTCTGCTCCCATGGGTATGAGATGAGACCCACTAAAGCACCTGGAGGGATGAATTATTCCAGACTCGGTGTTGTCCTGGGAGGCCCTATTTCCCGACACGGCCATAGACTATAAATCTACTGCGTTTCTGAAACGCACCAATATCAGTGCATTTCTAGAAGGTCAGTCTGTGTCCTCTTGCCTTTCTTCCCAGTAGAGTTCTGACTGGCACGGCCGATTCCTTGCACCTTAGTCTCCGAACTAAACGGACAAAAGCTCCTTATCGTTAGTCCTCTATGCTTTGTCTTCCCATTTTCCGACACTATTTTTAAAAGAGGGAAATGGAGCAGAAGAGTCCAGTAACTCACAGACACACACTGGCTGGCCACGAGGGTCCTCCTGACCCACGGACTCGCTGCGGGCGGTAGACAGACATCGGCACCATGTTTGGAGGGCATGCGGTCATTTTTTGGCTTAAGTCTGAAAGCCCCAATTTGACTTTTATGAATGACATGTGAATGACCATTCACATGTGCCGACACGTAACATGCCAAGGCCAGGTGGACGGCGCACGCTCCGGCGTCGAGAGCCCGCCCTGGCCACGCCCCTGCGCACCTGGAACGATTCCATCCGGATGGGTGTGCAGGGACGAGGCCGTCAGGGGAACCCCGACACCGCGGGCCCACGGGGCTCCCCGGTCTCACGCCCTGGCGGCCTTCGCGCGTCCGGCCTTAGCTGTCCTGGGACGGCACATGGAACGGTCACCGAGGGCGGCTCTCCCTCGCCTGACGTTAACACTGGCGAGCGCCAGCGGTCCCTCCCCGGCACTGACGCGCGGCCCGCGGGGGGTGGGGGCGGGAACGTCAGGCTGACTCCGTGACCCTCTCTCACGCTGTCACCCAGGGGAAGACGGGCGGCTGGCCTACGAGCAGCTGGACAAGTTCCCTCGAGACGGCGTCGGCGTCGCGAGTCGCCCCGGGGTGGAGGTGGCCACGGCCTTCTGACGACCGGCTGGCTCGGCCGTCGCGGAGCCGTCCTCCCAAGGGCCTGGTGCTCCAGCGGCGCCGTGGCGGAGCCGGCCCGGGTGTCCCGCTCGCAGCGGGCCGCCGGGGCCACCTGGAAGTCGCCCGGTGCAGCAGCCTTCCCTCCGGTTCCGCGGCCCCGCCCCCTCCCGCGGCCAGCGCCTGGGGCCGGGTGCCCTGCGTGCGCTCGTCACGTGGCCGGCGAGTCCGAGCCCCTCCGACCTGCTGTGTGTGGGATCTCAAAATAGCCATCTTCGCACTGTTGTGGAAGTTCTTCTGTCAGCGTGAGCCAGTCCCGTGATTGACGCTTCGGTGCACGTCGTGCGGCTTGCGGTTCTTCCCCGCGTGTCTGATCTCAGGGTGGAGCGCCCCTCCCCCAGCCACCCCCACTGCCCGCCCCGCCCCCCGTGCTGCCCCCGCCACCCAACTCTCCCTTAAATGCAAAACACAAAAAAGAATTCCTTCGAATAAAAGTTTGCCTGCAGAACCTGGTAGAATGACACATTGTAGGAGTTTAGTGGTTTTTACATTTCCTCGTTTCAGAATGTCCACCATTGCTTCCGCTTCTTTTCTCCACCCCGAAAGTTCCAAAAGCACGTTCCCCCCCGTGGTGAAAACACTGGTGGGAGACTCCAGGCCACCTGCTCACGATCACACCCGCACGTGCTGAGAACAAAGACAGGCGAGGCGGAAGCTTTTATTTTTTCAAAACCAAGAGCCATTTTTTTAAATGATATTGCTCAGTAGAGGTACCTTGCTGCTAAGACAAATGAAAACCAAAAGTCCTGGGCTCAGAAGGCTGGGATGCTCTTTGAGGAAGGAGGGAGAGCACAGAAGGTGCAGGGACATCGACAGGGGTCCTGGCCTCTGTGACAATTCCCGTGAGGGCAGGGGGCCAGCCCCCCTGCGCACTGCGGGCCGGTTCCTGCCCCCGCTGGGTCCCCTTGGCCAAAAAGTCCAAACGGCAGCCGCCCTCACAGCTCCGATCAGGGTGCAGTGCACGGCCTCTCAGGACTGCTACCAAGGAACCTCTCTTCCCCTTGAGAGTATTCGGGGTGGGAAATGCCAAGATATCAAATTTGGTGTGAGTGTAACTGAAACTGAACCCTGGGTGTGTTTGTACACGATACCACATGGGTGTCATCTCAAATGTTTCCGTTTGTAGCAAGACCTTGAAAAGCAACTCTGATTTCATTTTAAAGTTCACGTTGTTCGCCAGGCTTCCTGGCAACGAGTCCTTTTGACTGTGAAGTTGTATATATACATTTGTACATTTGTAAATATTATATGTATACAGATAACCTTCCTTTTCAATGCATTGTACAGTGTAATTCGTATGTTTAGTCTTTGGTCGACATTAAATGGTTGACACGATACTTTCTATAGAACCTTAAGTCACAAATGTTACAGTTTTTTGTTTGGTTTGTGGTTTTTTAAAAAAGTTTTTTGGATATTGCATGAGTAATGGACTCCATCCCTTTTGTATTCACTTCTGCATTTTATTTTTTGGTTGAGGGGGGTGCTTTTAGTTCTGCGGCATTTGTATCCATCACTGTCTGTCTCGTGTAAGTTGCAATAAAAGTTATTTTTGAATTTCCAGTCTCATGCCGAGTCGGCCGTATTGTGCTCACACGCCCTAGGGAGCCGGTCGGCACGTACACCCTGCACCTCACTCTCAGCGCTGTAGCTCATTCTCGCCGTGAAATTCCTTCCTTCGCACAGGAGGACAGAAGTGCTCACTTCGCTGATACTTGGTAAAGCTACCAGGAGAAAAAAGACTGGGAGCTCCTCGAAAGTCAAAAGCATCATCATGTACCCGATTCCCCGGCCCTAACCCCCAGAACCCCTTGCTCCGCTGGCCTGCGTGGGCCTCGCTACTGCGTTGCTAGGTGACGCGCTCCGGGTTCTCAGCTATTGTTCCTGCAGACCGGACCGGGGGGTGGAGCGCGAGCCGCGCCGGCCCGTCCGTCTGCGCAATGGACCAGACCCAGGCGTCTCACGGGCAGTTTTTCGCTCAGATTCGCCAGTATTTTGCGGGGCTGTATCAGTGCCTGCAGAACTTCTGGAACGCCAAGGTGAAGGCCTTTTTCGTGAAGAAGGAAGAGGAGGAACCTGTCCCCACAGCGGAGAGCATTTTTCACAAAGAAAAGATGGTGCTGCTGGGCCAGGTGCTGAGGAACAAATCCCTGGCCGCTGAGAAAAGGGCCCAGGCCGCCTACCGCATCGGACTGTTGGCCTTCACAGGTACTGGCCTCCCCAGCTGTTTCCTTTTCTTTCTTTTTAAATATTTTTATTGATTATGCTATTCCAGTTTTCCCGATTTTTTCTCCTCTAACCCTCCTTCCGCCCTGCCCCTCCAATCCTCCAGTATTGCCCCCCTTAGTTCACCTCCACGGGCTGTACAGGTAAGTTCTTTGAGTTCTGTTTCCGTCCCCAGTCTTTCTCTCTCCCCGCCTCCCAGCCGGCTGCTGCTTCCCAGTCCCTCCCCACCATCCCTCCCCTCCCCCTCCCCGTCCCCACTGAACTCCCTCCGTGGGATCTCCATCTCTCTGATTCTGTTCCTCTTCTGGTGGTTTGCTTCGTTTTTGTTTCCGTTGTTTCTCTTTTCTTTTAGGTTCATTTGTTGATAGTTGCGAGTTTGTTGTCGTTTTGCTGTTCATATTTTTTATCTTCTTTTTCTAAGTCCCTTTAATGTTTCATATAATAATGGTTTGGGGACGATGAACCCCTTTACTTGACGTTGTCTGGGAAGCACTTGATCTGCCCTCCCATTCTAAATGAGAGCTTTGCTGGATAGAGCAATCTGGGATATAGGTCCTTGTCTTTCATGATTTGGAATATTTCTTTCCAGCCCCTTCTTACCTGCAAGGTCTCTTTTGAGAAATCAGTTGATAGTCTAATGGTGGGAACTCCTTTGTAGGTAACTGTCTCCTTTCCTCTTGCTGCTTTTAAGATTCTCTCCTTATCTTTAATCTTGGGTAACTTAATGATGGTATGTCTTGGTGTGTTCCTCTTTGGGTCCACCTTCTTTGGGACTCTCCGGGCTTCCTGGACTTCCTGGAAGTCTGTTTCCTTCACCAGATTGGGGAAGTTCTCCTTCATTATTTGTCCAAATAAGTTTTCAATCTCTTGGTCTTCCTCCTCTCTTTCTGGCAGCCCTATGATTTGGATATTGGAACGTTTCAGGTTGTCCCAGAGGTTTGTAAGAGTCCCTTCCCTTTTTCAAATCCTTGCTTCTTCATTCTGTTCTGGATGGATGTTCCCTTTTTCCTTTTGTTCCAGAAGGTTGCTCTGAGCCCTGGTTTCCTTGCTGTCACGGTTGGTCCCCTGAACATTCCGCTTTGTTTCACTTTGGGTCTCCTTCCTTTGTTTTCCACTTTTCGACCCAGCTCAGTCCGACCTGGGAGCGCTTGGATTACCTGGGCTTTAAATCCTCCACCAGCTGGGCTGGCGGTCCCCTCCGCACCTAGCTCTCTTCCTGGGGCTCTACCCTGTACTTGCCCTGGGGCCGTCCTTCTTCCTCTCGGGCCCCTGATGGTTGTGAGGGGGCGGGGTGTCGGGCGTTCCCCTGGGCGGGGCAACCCTCCCGCCAGCCGCGGCTCCGCCCCTGGGGGCGGGGCCAGAGAGGGAGCCGCGCGGCCGCCTGCTCGTCTCCAGCGCCCTTCCCGGTGGACCCTTTTGGGAGACCGGGAGCTTCTCCTACCGCCACACCCACCGTGGGCCCCCGCCAGTCAGCGCAGCCCCCCAGCCCCCCAGCCAGCCCCGCCCCCAAGGTAAGCCTGTCGCCGCGGTTTTTCCGAGTCTGCCCACGTGGTCCGCCGCTCTGCCGGCCTGGTGGTTCTGGCTGATTTTTTTCCTTTAACTCCTTGGTCGTCGGAGTCCCATGCAGTCTGATTGTCTGGTGCTTTTGGTGGTTTATTGATTTCAGATTGGTTGTTATCCTCTTTTTGGCTGTGCAAGGAAGCGAAGGGTCTCTACCTACGCCTCCATCTTGGCCCGAACCTCCCCAGCTTTCGTTTATGACACTAAGTGAGCCGTCTTCGTAGTTCTCGCCTTGAAATTCCGATAGCTCTTCCTTCGCTAAATTATCAGTATTTTTGTCTTTGCACCACGAAAGGCATTACTAATTATTTTCTCCTCGGGGATCTGTTTTTTAAGTGTGTCCATCAAATACACGACTTGTTCCCTGCTTCTATTCATCAAAAATATATGAACTAAAAGTGACTATCGAAGTTCTTATTATAAAAAGCATCAAAGGATCTACACTGAGTCAGTAGAATTCCAACCTGCTGAGTCAGACGACTTCGTGTTTTTATCCTGTGAAAAGGCATTGCACAGGAAATAGCTGAGAAAAACAAATAACACGCTGCTCCTAAAGCACCTGCCAGGTGGCCGGCCGGGCGCACCCGCGGGAAGCAGCGGTTACCGTCCGCCTGGACAGAACACTCAGTGGCAAACCGTTCAGACACGCAGCGGTCTGGCAGTTAGGTCCAAACTCGCTCCTTGTTTCTTTGTAATAAATGTCAGGGTTTGCTGTGACATGTTATTGATTGATAGTCCTCAACGACGCATGTCCTTATTAGAAGCCCTTTTTTCCCCACATTTTTCAATTCTTGTTCACATTTGTCTACATCCCCCTCCCCCCCCCCACTCCTCCTTATTAGAAGTTCTGGCTGGTAGCTCTAACTGTCCGTACTTTTTTCATGGGAAAATGAGTTACTTAGATGTAGTTTGATAGACTCAATCTTTCAAAGAATGCGTCCGTGACAGAAAACATTCACTGTTCGCCGGGGTCGGGGGCCACAGGAAGGGAGAGGAGCTGGGAAACCGAGACCCCGCCGCACGCCAGGCCTGGCCCCTCCCACAGCTGTGCCCCCGCTGCGGGAAGAGCCGCTTGTAAAGGCGCCGGAGCCCTTTGACTTGATGGGGCTCAGCCCCAGCTGCGCTGGTAGGGAGCCGGGGAAAGGCTTGTGCCGCGGCCTCAGCTAAGGCTTTATTGTTGACTAGAACATTCTTGGGACCCGAGAGAAACGCGAGCCCGGTGGGAACTCCAGGGCTGGACTCCAGCCAGCAACGCCGGCTGCCCCACCGTCCAGCAGTTCCTGCGATGCCTTCACGGCTCCTGCCTTCTCGGAACTTGGGGTTTGGACTGGGACAGTCAGGGGTCAGTCAGGAATACAGACGAGAAAAGTGGAGCCCAGGACCAAGTGGGGTTCAGCGGGCAAAGCATGGAAACACTGGGGGGGGGGCACGTGGGCCCCACCCTGCGGGAACCGGGCTGGGTCACAGGTTAGGAGGTCGGGAGAGGAGGGCAGAGCTCGGGAGCCACCTCTCCGGCCACCGGACCTGGCTCTGCGGCTCAGCCAGCAGCTCTCCCGTGGCTGCTCCAACACGCTGGTGTTTCTTCAAGTCCGACAGGCGGAGGGCGAGGAGTGAGACAGGGAGGGAGACTCACTGGGTGATCACGGGCTTCCTAGGGCACCCAACCAAAGGGACCTCCTCCCACAGCCTCTCACGCCACTCCTGGTCACCACCCACGTTCCCAAGCACCCCAGTGTCCATCCGCACGCAGCAACCGGAACAGGAGCCCCTGAGCTCGCCTGTCCCTGGCCGCCGGGGACCCCAGATCCCGTCTGGAAACACAAGTGCTTGTCTTGCAGGGGGCCCGACATCGGGGACCTTCGCGGCCGAGTACATGAGGGACGTGGCCCTCCTGCTGCAGAATCACCAGCTGGCCCCGAAGACCAGGATCCTGCTGCTGCAGAGCGTGGCGTGCTGGTGCTACCTGGACCCCGCCAGCCAGCGCCAGGCCCAGTTTCTGAAGTTCATCCCCATCCTCACTGCGTTTTTCGACGACCCGCTGGAGTCGGCCTCCAAGAGCGAGACCAACAGCCACCTCCTGGTAAAGTTCTGGACGTGCTACGTCCTCTCTGTCATGACGTGCAACAACGCAGCCTTCATGGAGGAGCTGAAGGAGCACGCGGCCCTGAGGAGGCACCTGCAGATGCTGGCCGGCGACAACTGGGGCGGGTGGCCGGAGAACTTCGCGCAGGTGCTGTATTTCCTGGTCGGCTTCCACAGGGGCTGACCTCCCGCGCCCAGGGGTGGCCCTGCAGAACGGAAATAAACGGCAGAGGCCGATCGAGTCTTCCTGCGTGTTTTTCTTTTAGGTGGTTGACACCCCCAGGTCACCTCCCAGTCTGCAAGAACCAGACTTAGGGCACGCGCCGCCGCTTAAAAACGACCTCAGGAAGGCCAGGTTCCTGAAACGGGAAGTCACAGGAGGGCGTGAGGGGCACTGGCAGGACTTGTGGGGCATCACGTGACTTCACGCCGAGGCACCCAGAGGTGCCGAACCCTAACCCGCCCCACAGCCCTCCGCGGCCGGGGCCCCGCGGGCTGCACCTGCGTCCCGTCGGCCGGTTTCAGGGGCCGCCCCCAGCAGCCCTGTCTGGGGGGCCCGAGGTGGTTCCCTGGCTCCCAGAACGTGACCTTATTCCAGGTCAGGCCCACGTTCCGACAGTCGATGCCTAACTGAAAATCAGATTCGTCGTCTCAAGGCCATCCCTCCGAGCTCTCTTAGTCAACTCGGGCTGCAGTTCCCGGTGCGGGAACCTTAGCACCCGCACCACCCCCAGGCTCCCTCTTGAAATTCACCCCAACACTCCCCCGCCCCACACACACACACACAAGATCCCCAGGCAACCACTCCGCTTTGTCGAAGGGCTTTGGAGCTCACCACCATTGTATTTAAACGCAAGCACACGGGGGTCTCCAACCTGTTTTCTCTCACTCGGCTCCTCTGACCTCTTTCCAGCCCTGGCCACCAGCTCCTTTCTGTGGCTGAGCCGCATTCTGCTGTGTGGACGCCGTGGTCCGCTGACCCGTCCGTCCACTCCCTTGCAGATGGACACTCGGGCGGCTACGCACAAAACGGGGCCCCTGCAGACTGGTCTTCACCTGGACGTTCACTTTGCTGTCTCTCCGGTGGACACTGGGACTGTCCTATCTGAGGAGTTGGCCAAATCCAAGGTCACTGAGATTGGTTCCCCCTTATCTCTTCTTCTGAAAGATTGATAGTGCTAACTCTTGAATTTTACATCTTTTCCTCTGCCACCAAATGGTGGCAACCTATCTTTTGCATTTCCCAGAAACATGTCCTGTTCGCCAAGCCGCCCTCTTCCACGCAGCTCCCCCCCGCCCCCGGTTCCGACGGCCTCTCAGCTCGTTTCCTGCCCCCTTGACACACATGTAATTCTTCAAGGCACTTTTTCCTGCTAAACAAAAACAAAACACTGTCTCTTCAATTCTGTCTCCAGGCTGGTACCCCCGCCCCCCATCAACACCTAATCAGAGACCCACACCGTCTAATCCAGCGGCCGCTACCCTCACCTGGCTGTTGAAATAGAAACCAGCCTCTAGGTTCTTCATTCCCAGCCGTTTCCACGCTCCGCGGCCACATACGCCTGAGTGGCTGTCATACTGGACCCCACAGCTATTCGCGACAGAATCTTTTATTGGATGTTCTTGCTATAGATTAATGACAGCTTCCGCTTTTTAAGACTTCATTCAGGCACCGGAGTAAAATAAGAGGGAGGCGTCATCTCAATATTGAAAATAAGGGGAAAAATCTGTAAGGACTAAGAACCTGCCTAAGGGGGAATCCTTTAACCTTGACCTTGCTCCTTGTGGCCACTCCCTACTGGGGCCCTTGCGTGCTCCTCACAGAACACGTTCGGTCCCAGTGCTGCATACTCCACTGTCCTTTCTTTGGGAGGACTGAAGGGAACCCCCAGTTAATGTCACGCTGCTCTTAATTCTTGCTCCTCCTGTACATGTATGCTTTCTACCGTATCAAAGGGGCCACAAGTGAACAGAAGGCTCTGGAACCCCCGGCTCTTCCTGCGTCTCCGCACTGGACTTCACCTGCCCCCCCATAAGCGTCCCAGGAGTCCGGCCGCCCTGGCCAGCGGGGCCTTTGCTTCCCACTCAGGTACGTGTGCTCACCTCCGTCCTGACTCCTCGGGAGAGATACCCGGGAACCAACAGTCCCCGCGGCGAGTTTGGGGTAACGACCAGGCTCAGGAGTGACACCTCAACTGTTTCAGTCTAAAAAGGGACAGGTGCCAATTCATTCTCTCCTCGTCTCCTCCGAAACAACAGGAACAGAAAGAAAACCATAAAACCACATAGATTTTACTTAGATGTCATTTTTCCAAAAAGCACGCAGTGCTCAAAAGGACACTGAAGTTTATTTATCACACACACAGGTAGTGTCTGACATCGAGAAAACGTTATTTACATAAAACACCACAGAATAAAAATACATAGTATTTGTACTTTGATACAACATTAGGGTCCCGGGATTCAAACGAGGAAGTTTGATCTCAAGCCTGCAGTACGCAGGCATCTGCGCTGCTACAAAGACCGGCAGTGGAGGTGAACTTGAACTTGGCTGGCGTGTTTCTCATGTCGAATGCTCCTGACCCTCACGCGCAGGGCGGCTCCGTGTCTGGGAAGGGAGACACGGCTTCCGTGGCGCAGCCCTCGGCCCCGGAGTCCTCGCCAGCCTCCCCTTCGGAGTCGGAGTCCAGACTCTCTGGTGACCCGGAGTCAGCCAGGCATTTGCTGTTCAGTCTCTTAAAGAATAAACCAAAAGTTTATCGTAACGGCCTCCAAACCCACGTCCCTCATCAGTACGCTGAAACTACTGACCTCAAAGCCCCAGTGAGGTTCTTCTCGTGACGTCTCCCGATTGAGGGCCCCGCAAACCCAGCGTTCTGTCCGAGTCCCCACCACGCAGGCAGGTCGTGTTTCAGCAAAGTCACACAGCGGCTCGCCGGCTGCTGGGCCTTTAAGGCACTGACACGCTCGCACACGGAACCAGCAAGCGCTGCCCGCGGCGTGGGGCCAGCCGCCCGCGCTGCCGACTGCCGTGGACAACCCTCCCGGGCACGTGAGGCGCTGCCGCGTGTTTCCCGACGCAAACCTCAGACGCCCGAGTCCGCACGGCCCGAGCGCGGAAGCACCCCAGTACGCGGCTTCCTTTGGAAGTCATCAGTCAGCAAGGTGCTTTTGTTTGCAAACATGAGTAAGTTTAAGACTGACTTTCTAGGTGAAGGCTGGTAAAGTAACAATCATGAGACTAATTCTTACAAACAAATCAGCCTTTTCTGAATCTTAAAGAAAGGTGAGACCACCAAACTTACTTAGTGTACCAATGGACAGTTTTATAAAAAACAGTACCGTCACGCTGGCATTAAATTAAAAACTGTCTAAAAGTCTGTGCACTGTGAAATACAATACCTTCCCGCAACCTCTCGGACACAGGTAACTCTGGGTGCATCCCCGCAAGAACACCGATGATCTCCTGCTTCACGATACTAAACAGCGCCTCGCCGCTCCCGGCTGCCACTGTGGGTGCGGACACCCCCTCTGGCTCCCTACTCCCCTCGCACACCCACTCGCAGACCCTAGCGCCCCCCTTGCGAGACGAGGGGGGAGCCCCAACAGGATGCACCGCCCGCTTCACGCAACAGACCAGCGGGCCGGGCGGGGAGCGCGCGCCGGGCAGGGCCGCCACACTCCGGCTCACCGGAGGGGGCGGGGCGGGGCGGGGCGGGGCGGGGCGGGGCGGGGCGGGGCGGGGCGGGGGCGGAGACACCCACCTCCAGCAGCTCCGCCATGTACTGCACGTGCTCCGCCACTTCGGCCAGCTCCCTGTTCTCCTTCCTCAGGCGGGCGATCTCCTGGTCCTTCTGCTCGATCTCTCTGTGAAGCTGCAGGACGCGAACAGGCTGGGTGCTCCGCAGAGCTCTGCGCTGCGGACCCGACACCGCCCTCCCAGGGGGCAGCCGGCGGCCGCGCCGGGCAAAGCCCTGACACAGGCGTTGTCCTCGGCTCCCGCCCCACAGGCTCCGTTTAGTGTGACAACCCTGGTGCCACCAGTCGCCCGGCTGGCGCCGCTCTTCCCAGGCCGGAATGAGAGCCAGTCTGTGCTGCTCCACCCGAACGGACTAGGCAGCACATGGAACACGGAGATGGAAAAATGCGCCCCAGCCGATGCGGCCCGGTGGGCTGGGGCGTCGCTCCATAAACCAGAAGGTCGCGGGTTCGATCCCTGGTCAGGGCACACGCGAAAGGCAACCTTTCTCCCCTACATCCGGGTTTTCCTCCCTCCCTCCCTCCCCCTCTCTCTAAACTCAATACGCATGTCGAGTGAGGATTAAAAAAACGGCACAAATTCTTTTAAGTGCTTACTTTCTCGTTCTCCTGCAGTGCTGCATGGAGAGCATTTCTCCGTCGCTCTGCCATTTCCTTCCAGTACGCAGAGGAGGGGTTTTCTGAAATAAATGGGCGCTTCATGCGTAACCGTGAAAACCACCACTGCTCCATGCGGCTGTAACAGCCCCGGCACGTTTGCTATTTAAGAAACAATTTGTAATCTTGGGAACACCCATTTTTATACACGTAGAGTTAGAAAACTGGGTCCACTCTTTCCTCTTTTCATTTCCCCCCACATTTTAAGGATCCCCAGACCGTCCGCCGAGGGCCTGTCGTTCGAGTTCCGTGTCCCGGTGACACGGACTGATCGCTGTCATCCGTGCGGCTGCTGTAGCAACCCGGAGACACGGGGTGGAGCTGCCCGTCTCCGCGTGTGACCCGAGGGTCCCGTGCCCCCGGCGCCGACCGCTGCAGACCCGAGTGAGGCCGCAAGCCTGGCAGCCCACCCACAGCACGCCCGAAGAGCTTCCTGGCGCCTGCACAGCCCCTCCCCGGCCGCTGCCCCTGCGTAGTCGGCCCTGCTGACCTTTCTCCTCGGGGTCCCCCAGGCAGGTCGGAGAGAGCCTGGGGGGCCTTGCGGACCCCGGTCCGCTTTGCTGCGTCTCCACTCTCTTCACCAAGAGCAGCACCCATGGCCTTCCGGAACGTCCAGACCCGCCGCCGGCGTCCCCTCCGGCGCCTGTCACGCCCCAGGCCGCGCCTCCTCGAGCCCCTCCCCCCCCTCCCCTGCATTCGACTTCCCTCCTTCAAGGTCACTCCCCAGACACTTTTTTTTTCCTGGAAAGACTCGTATCCAAGATGCCACATCAATCACGACCCTTCTCTCTTCTACCTCATCCACATCTGGATCTTGGGAAAAAGTACGACTTGCTCAGATTCAGTGTCTGTGTGTGTACAACCAGAAGAAACAGTACCAAAGCGTTCCAGGAACCGATGTAACCAACCGTGCCCCCAGCTGCAGAGGCCGTGGGCAGAATTCCTGACGGCGGCGTAACAAGCAACACCGACCTTCATCACAATTGCTTCTCTCCTACCTGTGACCATAAGGTCAAGCGCTTCCCGGGCGACCCCTCCGGCGGCGCTGGGCTCTGCGATCGCAGCAGCCCCAGGGCTGGGCTTCCTCGATGCCGGCTGGCCGTCCCCGAGTTTCGCTTTGGACAAGCCCTTCACCAGCTGCAACGGAGACACGCACGTCAGTCGCGTTCACTCCGACCTAACGCACGAGGTCGCTGGGGGACCTGGGCGCAGAGCAGGCACGGCTCCTGAAGACCGTGTGCTCGGGAGAAGGGAGAACCGCGGGAGGGAGGGAGGCATCGCTGGAGTCCAGGGACAGAGGAAAAAGTGAGGAGGAGGAGAAGGAGGAGGAGCAGCCATTGGTTAAGAGCAGAAGGTAAGAATATCAGAAGAAAAAAGTCAAAGATGGTGTAGAGGGCAAATATAACTATGCAGAAATTTTTAAAAGAACATACAATCACTTTAATAAATTTGTTAGGAAATAAAAAAGCTAGCTGGGTGGTTTTGTCATTTGCGTATGAAAAATGGAGCGCTCATCTATCTGTGTCCCGCTGACATCTTCGGATTTTCCTGAGTAAAAAATCACAATTTAAAACTCTACCGAAATGTGTAGGTGTATTTCATAAATCTCATTTGCAGCAACTGTTCTGATTCAGACTCAGGTGTAAGGCTTCACTGAAATCGTTTTTCTTACCGAAATAATTCGGCACCACGGAAAGGCAGAATTTCCCACCCGCAAAAGCCCAGACACGTTCGCCCGTGGTTTTGCCACTAACCCCCAGAGGTTAACGGAGGAGCCCACCTTTCCGTTCTCACAACGCCCAGACACTCTTCCCGCAGGTTAATTCACAACATGTTACGGCACCTCAGTTCTACCAACATTACGTTCTACTGCATCGAATCTGAACTTCCTCGGTGAACAGTTAAAGTAACAGCCCCTCCGGCGGGGAAGACGCAGTGACCGTTCTTCCATCACTTCCCAGCGTCAACGACCCAGGGTCCCTGACAAGGGGGCCCGCCCCGGAGCTCCCACGTACCTCGTTCTCCCGTCCCACCAGGGGCCCAGCGGTGGAGGGCTGGATCATCTTCAGGGTCCTCCTCGGGGTGGGGCTGCTCTGCAAGTCGAGAGAATTCGCGCCTGGTCACTGAGTGCCGCATGGTCACTCAAGCCCTGCTCAGTGCAGCAGGAGAGAACACTAAGACCTCTGACACGGGGCGGGCAGAGCAGGTTCACAGCCGAGAGTGCCGGAAACACAGTTCATCTTGTATTATAGCTTACTAATTATTCCTGGATTGTAACTTACTAATTATTGCATTGTTTTCCATACAAACAACTGTAAACCTACCTTTGCCCACCCTGTATCTGGTCAGCTATATATATATATATACACACCTACGTGTAAACAAGACATCGGTTTAACCAACTGAACACACATTTCCCTAAAATTATAATACAAAATAAATAAAATTATAATAAAGCTGGAAGAAATTCTAAGAGTGCATCATATCACCCAAACGACAGGTGTGTGGTAAAAACGGACAAAGTAGGTAAACTGGGGGGGGGGTGAATTATTCACACTGCAAAGCACTTCTTCCCCCAATCATCAGGACCGCCACCTGACACATTCCCCTGCATCACCGAAGGAACGCAGCGTGAGAACACGGCTCACACAAAGCCAGGAACAGCCCCCCCCCCCCCCCCCCCCCAGCAGCAGTCTGGCGAGAGGCCCGCTCGCTAGGGGGCAGCACACCGAATGCTGCAGGGGGCCCATGTCACTGTTTGGGGAAAAGACAGCCCCCCTTGTAGTATGCAAATGCCCCCCTGCCTGTTTCCTGCTCAGAAAGCTCTCTCTAGTTTTGCCAAAAGTCACTAGCTTTTCTGCCACCACGGGACAGCAAACACCGCCGGGCGCTCAAACAAGGTCAGCGGGAGCGGGACACCGGAGCCGCGTGAGAAAGCGGCTGGCTGCCCATGGCCCCTCGAGAGCCGGGGCGGCCTTCCCACGGTCAAGTTTCTCCTGCTGCTGCTGATCTCACTGCTTCATTGAAGAACAAAGGCCAGCTACCGTGAGAACAAACACCACCCCCGCATCTCAGACGGAAGGTAGATTAGCCCACAGTCTCCGCGCGAGTGGGAACAAACACAACGCTGGAAGCTTCCTAAGACAAGACAGTTTCCAAGATTTAACTTGTGTAATGCAAGCTTCATAGCCTCTCTCCCCCCAAGTGTAATACTGCTGTTACCTCTTTCTTTATGCAGATGATGCACTGGAATCACAGAGTCATCGCAACCAAAGAGGTCCTTCTATATGATGGGCCTTCATCTTTTTTAGAAAACAATGTGAGATTCTGTGAACCTTTCTTAAAAAAGCACCCAGGAGCACACTCACCCAGAGTGTGGCACACAGTGAGTTACCAGGGAATCCGTGAGCAGGATGAGGAAAGTAATGACCAGCACCATCCTGTTTACAGAAGACCCCGCGGAGTGAGCGCACTGAGGAGCGCCGGCACAAACGGGTTCGGCAGGCTCTCGGGGTTCGGGGCGCAGCAATCAGTTGGGCTTCTACCCGGGGCAGTTAGCACAGGGACAGTGTGGAAGCCACTCCCCCCACGGTCGCATTAAAAAGAAAACATTTTAGGGGGAAGATCAGCAGAGGAAGTGTGAAGCCCAACACTCCGAAAACTACACGGCGCGGCTGAAAGAAACTGGAGAGCGGAATAAATGGGAAGACAGCCCATGCCCGTGGAGCAGGAATGTTAACACTTATTTGACTGTAACCAATTTTTTAATGGTTCTCTGCTGTTACTTTCTTCTGGCCAAAAATTAAGTGACTTAAAACTGGCAGAAACTACAGCCAGGTTAAATTGGGCTAAGCCACATTCAAACACTCGTGGGCCTATGCTTCCCCCACGGAGGAACGTGACCTGCCACATACCTTCACGCGCCCGTGGGTCCCTTCTTGCTTCTGCTTCATGGCGGGATGCATGGTGCACCTGGGGACACAAAAGCAGAATGTGGTCTGTGCCTGCAGGCGGAGCTTGGACGTTCACCTGTGCTGGGTGGAACCACATTTCTCGGCCTCACCAACCACTGAAGTGACAGAAGTCAGTAGTGACCCTTGAAGTCTGCATTTTACACAAGCACTCACGCAATAACTCGGGTTGGAAAACTGTGTATGTTCTACACAAATGCACAAAGCCTTCTGGTGTCCTGGGCGGAACACGGGGCTCTCAAAGAGCGGGGAAATGTCCCAGGACAGGAGAAGCTCAGACAGCTGGGGACGCCCAAATCAGTCCCAGAGGGCAGCACCCCAACTGCGCCCTTTCCTGTGTGTGACCAGCTCGGCTCTGGCAGTCACTTGTTAGCGGCTCAGCGTGCATGCTTTTGCACCTGTAGGAGACACCCCCGGGAGCCGGGAAGAGAGGGCAGCAGATAAAGGGACAGGTAATGAGGTTACTCACACCACTGAGCCCACCCACTGAAACCTGACCCATGGCCCGCAGGCTCGGAGGGGGGGGGTCTCCACATGATCTTCCCCCAGTGCAGACTCCCCGCACGGGGGCTTTCAGACTTGGACTGTGACCCACTGTGTGCACACTTTACCGTGTGCCCTGGCACACAGACGCAAACTACAAAGTTCAGGAGATGCACCCGATTTTCTATGCCGTTTCGTGTGAAGCAAATGCTGTTCGGCACCCACTAGGATGAGCCAAGGTGACGCGTTCCAAACTGCGGGTCGCGCGGCCCGGGACCCCACACCCATTCGGTGGATCACCAACAATTTGGAAAAAATAACTGATCAGAATGAAAATGAAAAGACGAGAAAACGTCGGAGTGCAGGGCATGCGAGGACCTGGGTCTGCTTAGTGAATCTTCCCAAGCAGCCGGATGGCTGCGTCTTGAACTGCGATGTAAGTGTGCTTGCGCCCGTGTCCCATTACAAACGCTGGAAGCCGCCGATCAAGGTAAGTTCAAGCCTCCACATGTCTGTCGCACTCCCGTCTGCAGCCTGGCGACCCACTTGACTCCCCCGTTCTTTTCAACTAGATTAAGGACGTCGGCACAGGCCTGGGTCCACAGAAATTGCTGACACACAGGGGAACCGGTGTCCCCAACACCAGTGCCGCTATTTAACCGGGGACCAGGATTTGGCGACCTTCCCCTGGAGCCCAACGTGCGCCCCACCCCCTCCCCCGCCCCGGATCACCGCCAGTCGCTAGTCCAGAGGGTGGGCGTTCCGTCCCGCCTCCCGACAGTCAAGCGCGGGGCAGAGTCCGGCACCACGCCGGCCGCAAGGCCTCCAGTCCCCGACCCACCGGGGTCGCAGGGCTCCCACTGCGGGCGCCAGCCAATGGGGAGCGCGGATAAGGAGCGCGCCAAAATCGGCCCAGCCAATGGGGCAGCCTCGTGCCCTACCGAAAGCCCCGCCCGGCTCCAGCCACAGTTCCTAAACTCCACTTACCGCTGCTCCGCGGAGTCCCGGGAGGGCCGATTCCGGCGGGCGGGAACGCGAGAGGGAGGCAGCCACCACTCTCACTCGCTGAAGGGAACCGCTCAGTCCTGGCCGCGGCGCCAAGCACAACGCCCCCAGCCGGACAGCACCCTTCCCCACCGCAGCGGAGCAGACGCGGCGCGCGCGCGGCTGGAAAACCTCGCTTAATCGGCGCGCCCGCCCCGACGGTCACGTGACCCCCCCAGGGGTGGGGCCCGCCCAAGTCCGACCAATCGCCACCCGCCTTGGCCCCGCCTTGGCCCCGCCCCTGCCTGCGCCGGCGCGGTGGGCTCCGCGCGTCTCTGCGAGAGGAGGTCCGGGCGTTTTCCCGGGCCCTGACCTCGGACCGCTCGCCGGACGACCCTGCGGAGCAATCAGAGCTGCCTCCGCCCGCCGCGGACACCGGCGGGAGGGCGTGTCGCGTCCGCAGTGCGCGGCTCCTCGTGTCTGTGCGCAGCCTGGTTCCGCCGGCTCCCCGCCGTGGGCAGAGCCTTGACGTTCGGTCTTCTTGCATTTTGACTCTTAGGGGTCGGGCCGCGCTCGGGCACCGCTGCCCTGCAACTCGGGGCGACAAGACCTCAGCCCTGCGGCCGGCTTTTCTTGCCAGTCCGCCAAGTCCTCCCATAGCCACCCTTGTGGACGTGGTGCTGTAAGGGGTAGGGGAAAACTTGGACCGTGAGGAAATAGGAACCTCGCTAGCTAGAGCCAGGAGGTTACTAGGTTAAGGAACAAACATCCTGCCTTCCCGCCTTGGGCAAGAGTGCTTGGTTTGAAATTCCCGCGCGCGGTCTTTGTAAGCGAATTGCTAAGTGCCACGTCTGCTTGTGTAAAACGCTTGCTTGCCCGCCCCTATATAAGGACGTAGTTGTAAGCTCTCGGCGCGGCTCTCGTTTGCAGCTCCTTGTGGGCACCGTGTCGCTGGACACTTTGGGAGTTCGCCCCTGCGCAGGTTAAATTTGGCCAATAAAGTAACATCCTTGATACCCTGAAAGTCTCCGACACTTGTTCTCGCGTTTGCTGGATGCTACATTTGGAGGCCCCAGCGAGATCGCCCTTCTCGGTGGAGATTCGGTTCGCAGACTGGGCGGGCAGCTCGAGCTGAGTAAGTTTTTACCGAGGACCCTCTTCCGGTTTCTGGTTTCTGGGCTCCGGAGCAAATAACCCTGAGGCAGTAGGTGGGGCTTCGCCGGTAGCCTACCCAGGGACCTCCAGAGGCGGGACGCCGCCCCTGGAATTTGGTTTTGGGAACTAAGTAGTGACCAGTCACGTGAGGTTCCCTTCCCCTTTGCGCCGCGCCGCGCTGGAAATATTTGAGCGTGTGAGTGAACGTGCTGGTGAGTGACTGTGTTTGTAGCCCCACGGGGAAACCTACGGGGCATGAGAGGGCCCTAACCTGCGGATCCTGTGTCCGATCCTACGGCATAGCAGCTGGCAGTCTAACCCGGACTCTGGTCGGGCAGCCTTAGCCAAGGTCGACATCACCTCGAGAGAGGGCAGGCCAGGCGGGCGAGCCACTGGGTTCTGTGTCTCGTTTTGTCTGCGCGCTGTGTCACAAGTTGACTTCTGAATGACATGCCTAATTCGAGTGTGAGGGATATTGCCTTGTCTGTCGCCTTGCTGGTTTGTATTATTTGTCTCTTCTCCTGTCTCCCGGACCTCATCAGAATGGGCCAGCCTTTATACCTGCCACATCACAGGAACTAGGCAGGAAATTGGGTGTTAAGTGGAAATTACATTGTATCTATAGACCGCAAAGCTCAGGACAGGTAGAAAGAATGAATGGGACTCTTAAGGAAACCATAATTAAATTAAGGGAGGAGACCGGCGAAAACTGGGTGGAGCTACTCCCTCTTGCCCGTTTGAGAACACGGTGTACCCCTTACTTGAAAAAGGGGACACCATATGAAATCATGTTGGGACAGCCAGTACCACTTGTGCCCCGACTGACCACTGAAGAACTAGAAATGTCTAATCATAACTTTTTTTTAACATTTTATTTATTTATTTTTAGAGAGGGAAGGGGGGGAGAAAGAGAGAGAGAGAGAAACATCCATGTGCGGTTGCTGGGGGTCATGGCCTGCAACCCAGGCATGTACCCTGGCTGGGAATTGAACCTGGGACACTTTGGTTCCCAGCCCGCGCTCAATCCACTGAGCTATGCCAGCCAGGGCTTAATCATAACTTTTTAAAGTCCTTACAGGCACTGCAGCAGATTCGACGAGAGGTGCGAACCCTCCGACAGGCAATCAAGGCAGAGAAGACTGAAGGTGCCGAACTACCAGAAGCACCAGAACCTGGACAGTGGGTGTGGACCCTGAACCATAGGAGGGGCAACTTAGAGCCTCGGTGGCCTGGACCCTTTCAGGTATTGCTAAGTACCCCCTCCGCAGTTCGGGTGGCTGAGAAACCCTACCGGATCCATCTCTCCCACACCAAGCCAGCCCAACCTCCCGAAGACAGCCAGCAAAAATGGCGGGTCAAACAAAAGCCAGGAGAACCCTTGAAACTCACCTTCTCCTCTGCCTAGGGCTGGTAGTGTCCTGGAGTTTAGCCAGCTCCGGCTCGGGACGAGACAAACAAGACTGGGTTTTAATTAGAACTGCTGATGGTACAGTGATTGCCACCAATGGGACATGGGAAAATGCTCCAGTCTCCCTAAAAACAGACTTTTCTAAGTTCTTTGCCGACCATTTCTGTGACTCTGATGCAGCCTGGCGGAACCATGCCTCTGAGGACGGGCCTCTCGGGGATAACCTCCCTTCGTCCTACACACTAGGGTACGGAGCCAGGTGTGACTCAGCCCTAAAGAATAGAAACCTCTGGTTTAGCCCCCATTATGGATGCCCTGAGCCGCCAAGAGGACGACGCCGAACTTGTGGGTCCCTGGATGACTATTATTGTAAGGCCTGGGGCTGTGAGACCCTGGCTAAGACTTGGAGCCCAGGAGGGGGGCGGGATAAGCATATCGCCCTCAGCCGGATACCACGCCAACCCGGCAAGGGAAGCTCCGAGTGTGCTGCAGATAACTGTAATCCAACAGTTGTCACCGTCCTCAACCCAGGCGACCCAGAATGGGTTAAAGGAAGGACATGGGGGCTAAGGCTGTATCTTGCGGGCCCTGACCCAGGGACCTTCTTCACCGTTAGGAAGCTGCCGACTCGGCAGGCCTCTCCTGAGGGGGCCGGGAAGCGGGCTGCCCCCTAGGCCGGCAAGGCCAGTCGTCCCTCCTCCGAGTGGGACTGAGCAGCCAACCGAAGAAGAGCTAAGAGGGTTCCTCTACTAGTCCCTGTTGTAGCCACTGTCAGGGTGACGGGGTCAGCTGCGGTGGGAGCAGCAGCTTTCGTGTCAGGAGAAACCAGCCTCAGACAGCCGTCCCAGATGTTTACCGAGGACATCTCTCTCCTTCAAGGTCGGGTAACATATCTCGAGCGTCAAGTGGACTCCCTAGCAGAAGCAGCTCTCCAAAACAGACGAGGACTAGATCTCGTATTCCTCAAGCAGGGAGGACTTGGTGCTGCCTTGGGAGAAGAATGCCGTTTTGATGCCAGTCATTCAGGAGTAATAAGGGAGAATATGGAGACTTTAACCAAAAGACTCAAAGAGAGAGACGGAGAAGAAGAATACTCCAACTGGTATGCCTCTATATTTAGTACTTCCCCATGGCTAACCACCCTTTTATCTGCACTTGCAGGACCCCTTCCTTTGCTTCTGTTATTAGTTACTATGGGGCCTTGCATTCTAAATAAAGTCATAGCCTTCATTAAAGAAAGAATAGAAGTAGTAAAGCTGATGGTCCTACCTCAGCCCTATACCATTATTCCTAACGATGAAGAGTCAAGGGTTTGACAAACCCCAAGAGAAAACGGGGGAACGTAAGGAGTGGGGAAACACTTGGACCGTGAGGAAATAGGAACCTCGCTAGCTAGAGCCAGGAGGTTACTAGGTTAGTGAACAGACACCCTGCCTTCCCGCCTTGTGCAAGAATGCTTGGTTTGAAATTCCCGCGCGTGCGGTCTTTGTAAGCAAACTGCTAACTGCCACGTCTGCTTGTGTAAAACGCTTGCTTGCCCGCCCCTGTATAAGGACGTAGTTGTAAGCGCTCGGCGCGGCTCTCGTTTGCAGCCCCTTGTGGGCACTGAGTCGCTGGACACTGTGAGAGTTCGCCCCTGCGCAGGTTAAACTTGGCCAATAAAGTAACATCTTTGATACCCTGAAAGTCTCCGATATTTGTTCTCGCGTTTGCTGGATGCTACAGGTGCAACGGACCCACCGGCGTCCGTCACACTTACCGCAGGTGTCGGGGAAGCCTGCATTCCCGTTTCCTGACTCCTCGTTCTCCTGCCACCCCGCGCCGCTTTGAGCACGTGCGCTTTGCCCCCTCCTTGCCCGCGACCCTGGTGCCTGCCTGCCACCTCCCTCCCCGGCCCTCTTGGCAGCTGAAAATGTACAAAGCATAGTAGGACGACTCTGGCTTTGTTTGAGGAAATCTAAATTCATAAAGGACACCTCAGAAAACCGAGTTTCCAGAGTGAGAACGGTGACAAGTGTGAGTACCATGTCCCTCGACTTTGAAACGCCAGCCAGTCCACATAGGGACTCTGACGGCCCGTGTCACCAGCCAGCAGGCAATGAAAAGGGTCACCGACAAGAGCCCAGATGGGTAAGCAATATTCGAGAGTACATAAAAAGTTACATTCAGGTCGTCTGCTCCAGGTAAAGTGTGAAGCAAAGTTCATGATGGTGCTGTTCCTCTCCGGAACTGAAGCGCCAGGAAGGAACGTTGTCTTCCACGTGAAATCGGTGAGCGGGGCAGAGGGCAGAGTCGAAGGGTCACTGTAGTGGACAGCTGGCGGAGCTGGGAGGGAACTGGCCATTTTCCCCTCCTGCCCTCACACCTGAAACAGCAGCTTACCAAACAGTATCCATGGCACACAGTTCCGGGGAGAATGTGTTACTGCCCACTAGGTGGCAATGCTGTCTGACCTAACGCAGAACTTGAACTTGAAAGTTCATCTAACAACCGGTATGCTGTGTTGTTGACTCTCTTACCTACTGGGCAGACTCGACTTTCATTAATGTGTGTCCACAGTAGCATTCTTCAGACTTTCAGTAGCAGAGAAGAAGAGACCCTGTCTCCCTGCACAAGCACTGACACCTGAATGATGAAGAGGAGAGGCCAGGCAGGCAGGTGGGGTGGGGTGGGGTGGGGTGTGGGGGAGAGCTCCAGGGCCGGGCAGCTGGCACAGCTTGGGGGGAGAAAGAGCATCTTCCTCCCCCCTGCCCCCCCCGGGGGGGCCGATGCCTGGCACACAGCAGAGTCAGGTTACACGGACCCTCGCTCGCACAGTGCGACCTCGAGCAGACCCCGAGCTCCGGGACAGGCGCCAACTCTGCAGCCCGCCTTCCCCTCCCCCTGGCAGCCACTGATCTTCCCACCGTCTCTGTGGTTTCGCCTCTCCCGGAATGTCCCAGAGTCGGGATTGCACAGCACGCAGCCCTTTCAGAGTGGCTTCTCTCATTTAGGGAAGTGCATTCGGTGTTCATTCCACGCCTTTTCACGGCTGGACAGCCCGTTTCTTTTCGGTGCTGAACAATGTGTCGTTGCCTGGATGGACCTCAGCGTCTTTGCAGTGCGTCGTTTAACACACGTGATTTTACGTAATCGTGAAGGGACGTGCACAACAGAATGGCCAGAAAGTAAGTACGGAAAGAGGATTTTCTGTCCACAAACTTTGACCATATACGAGTAAAATAAAATTATTTTAGAAGTACAGTACAAACAAGGGGGAAGTTCATGAATCCTTTTGTATTGTGTGTAAAAGATACAATTTAGGAAAAAAGAGAGAATTGCACCACTGATGTGGTCTGTTCTTGAGTCATTCTCCAGTTTTAAACAATGCATTAAAAAAGAAGAAATGTCAACTGTAAAAGTTTTACTCGAATTCAGTGACTCTTTCCAGTGTGAGCTCAGATGTGTACTTGCGGAACAAAACTAGCGCACTTCTCAGTGTGCGCGCGCTCACTGCTTTCAACTTTGGACAGACAGCCATTCCCAGGGGTCGCGCAGAGGGTGGCGGGATGGAAACGAAGCCGGGGTCTGCATCTCGGGTTTAAGAACGCAGGTACAGTCCTGCAGGGGCTGGAGACCGGGCGGAGGCCCCCCGGGACCTCCAGGGACTCTGTGGGAAGCTGGGGCCGCGGGACGCCTGCGGGCTGGGGGGTCCTCCGCGCGTGCTGACGGCAAGCTCACGCGCCCAGGGGCACTGGGCGGTAGGCGGCGGCAGCGGCGGCGGCCCTTGGAGCTGGCCGGCAAGTGCTGGTTTCCCGGAAGGGCGCTGCACAGCGCTGCCCTGGTCCGGCATTCGGGGGTTAAAAGCAGGCCCACTGAGCGGTTTTGTTTTGCATGGTTGCAGTCCACACACCCTCACCTGGCCCACCTGGTGGCCGCCGCCCCGCGCCCTTGGCAGGCCTTTGCGGCAGGTCCCCTAGTGGCCCCAGAAAGGCCAGAGGAAGCGGAAGGAAAGCAAGCCTGCGGGAGGAGGGGCAGGGGCAAGGCCCCCGGGAGGTAAGGGGAGCAGGGTGCAGACTGCCAGGGCGACGTACAGGGGGTGGTGACCTGAAGCCGTGGGGCCCAGGACCAGCCCAGGAGTTGGGCTGGGCCGCCCCCCAGACACTCGGGCTCCTGGTCCGTGCGGACGGACAGCAGGCCTCAGAGGGCCGCACTCTGCTGAGCTGCCTAAGCGTCTGCAGTCAGTGTGACGGCCAGCGTCGGCCCCTGCGGCCCTGCCCCTCCCTCCCAGGAGCACCCTGCGGGGAGGCCTCGTGCACCCTCGCCCTTTCCCTGGCTCCTGCTGCCCTGGCCGGGTCGCAGGCTGGCTTCTGGCAAAGGCACAGACCACCACCATTCTCCTGGAAGGTGATGAGCTCGGGACCACGCCCCTCAGAGGAGCCTCTGGGTGACCGAGGGCGAGGAGCTGAGGGGTGACGCCCCTGTGCGGGAGGCTGGGAGGGGTCCAGGGCCAGGACGCAGTGGAGGTCGGGGCCCACAGGGCCCTCTTGCGGAAGCTCCCAAGCACTCACCTCTGCCGTGGCGTCAGTGCAGAGGGAGGCAGGTTGTTACTCTTCTCTAGATCCGGGGCCAGGAAACTTCCGTAAAGGGCCAGAGAGCCCCTGGTTGAGGCTTTCTCTGTTGCATATTGTTAGTTAGTTTTCACAACCCTTAAACATATAAAAACTCTCGTGAGCTCTCAGGCAGGACAAAACCAGGCCCTGGGCCAAATTTGGCCCGAAGACTATCTTTTGCCAACCTTTATGCCACGTAGTTGACTTTTTTTAGAGAAAGAGAGAGAAAAAGAGAAAGAGAAAAACATCAATTTGCTGTCCCATTTATTTTATGCACTCACTGGTTGGTTCCTGCATGTGCCCTGACCAGGGATTGAACCCTCAACCTTGGTGTATCATGACGGCACTCTAACCAGCTGAGCCACTGGCCAGGACTCGTAATTGACACTCTTAAACTGGAGAGAAGAAGCAGGAATCAATCTAGGTGACTTTCTACTGTGCCAAGAAGGGCCGCTTTCTTGCCAGAGACTTGACAGCGAACTTCGAAGCGGGCAGGTGAAAGAATCGTTTTCTTCCTTCCTGAGAGGAAAGAGAAGACAAGCGAGTTCTGTGGGCGAGCTACACAGCTCGGGAAAGGGCCAAGGCCGTGCTCTCCGAAGGCGGGAGAGCGAGGCAGGAGCTGGGGCCTGGGAAGGTGCGGCTGGCTAGGTAGTCGGGCGGGGCGGGGCCCAGCCGCGGGCTGGCGGGGCCCAGGGCACAGGGAGAATTCGAGTCCCCGTGTGAAAGGTGGTCAATGCTCTCGAGAGGGTGACAGCAGAGCAGTAGAGCAGTAGAGCAGCAGACGCCTTCCGGCCACCGCTCCAGCGCCTGGGCCCCGCCTGCGGGACCGCCCCCCCTGCCCCGGCCCCGCCGGCTCTGCTCGGGCACGTGAGACCCAGCCACAGAGCAGCTGGAAATCCGGCACCCCTCCGTTCCAAAGGGCCCCCCTCCCGGTAATTGCCGCTCCGCCACAGGCCAGGGTTGCGCCCAGGCAGTCCCGGCAGCTGCAGTCAGGTGGGCCGGGCTGAAATTCCAGTGCCGCCGTCTCCTATGAACTCTGTGACCGTGCCTTCGCTTGACCGACTTTCCTAAGTGTCAGATGGCCAGGGCAGAGGGACAGTCACGGGGTCCTCCAGAGGGCCAGTGCCAAGGGCCTCGCTCGCGGCCTCGTCCACAGCAAAGCTCTCCACCGTGCAAAAACGCTCCTGCTCTGTGTTTCTCTGCTTGCCGTGCGTTTTCGTTTCTCCGCGGGGTGAGCTCTTAGCAGCGGGGGTGCTGCGTCCGAGGGCGTTCACTGAACACCGATGCCGTCTGTCCGTCGCCGGTCTCTGAGGCGGGTCTCACGTTCGCCCCTCTGCTCTCTGCGCCCCAGGGGGCCCACCTGGAGGAAAACGATCTGTCTGTGTCCCCGACTTCCACTCAGCTCCCCTGGGAGGCACAGACTCGGGGCGGGCAGAGCACAGGGCGCGGGGCAAGGAAGGAGCCGCAGGCCTCCGCTGGGCGGTGGCTGCGTTTCTCTCCCAGAAGCTGGAGGCAGCTCCCCCCCAGGGCTCAGCCCAAGCTCCCTCCCTGGGCCCCAGGCCTGGTGGCCGCCACTCTGGCCGCTGCCCATCCCCGGGCAGGACCCCAAGCACGCCACTCCAAATAATCCCCTGCGTCAGCTTCCTGGCTGCCCTGCCACGGGCCACCTGGTTGGTGCCCTAACCAATGTGCCCGCCCACCGAGGAGCTCGGGAGAACTTGCTTTCCCAAGCTTTGGAAGATATTGTCCCATCAGACGCTTTTGAGATTTTTACCTAGAAATCGTCCTTTAGTTCTTTCCTTTTCCTGGGCACCAGGGCTATTATTTACCTTTTTTTTTAAAGATTTTATTTATTTATTTTTTTTAGAGAGGGAAGGGAGGGAGATAGAGAGAGAGAGAGAAACATCAATGTGCGGTTGCTGGGGGTCATGGCCTGCAACCCAGGCATGTACCCTCGCTGGGAATCGAACCTGGGACACTTTGGTTCCCAGCCCGTGCTCAATCCATTTACCTTTCGTCACAGACAATGGTTCCCCTTGAACTTCAGTTTTTTAAAGGCCTTTGCACCGGCTTTGACTAGGTCCCTTCAGGCTGCTCTAGCACAGCACCG